TCCTAATTTCTTCTCACGTACTTTGTTGAACGATCCTTTCATAGTATTCACCCTTTGCTCGACTTGTTGAAGCACCTTTGGCAGCGATTACAGCCTCAAGTCTTCTTGGGTATGACGCTACAAGCTTGACACACCTGTATTTGGGGAGTTTCTCCCATTCTTCTCTGCAGATCCTCTCAAGCTCTGTCAGGTTAAATGGGGAGCGTCGCTGGTCAGCTATTTCCAGGTCTCTCCAGAGATCTTCGATCGGGTGCAAGTCCAGGCTCTTGCTGGGCTATTCAAGGACATCCAGAGACTTGTCCCGAAGCCACTCCTGCGTTGTCTTGGCTGTGTGCTTAGGGTCATTGTCCTGTTGGAAGGTGAACCTTCGCCCAGTCTGAGGTCCTGAGCGCTCTGGAGCAGGTTTTCATCAAGGATCTCTCTGTACTTTGCTCCATTCACCTTTCCCTCGATCCTGACTAGTCTCCCAGTCCCTGCCGCTGAAAAACACCCCCACAGTTTGAGAGTCCTTTGGGTGCCTTTTACTGAGTGGCTTCCGTCTGGCCACTCTACCATATAGGCCTGATTTGTGGAGTGCTGCAGAGATGGTTGTCCTTCTGGAAGGTTCTCCCATCTCCACAGAGGAACTCTGGAGCTTTGTCAGAGTGACCATCGGGTTCTTGGTCACCTCCCTGACCAAGGCCCTTCTCCCCCGACTGCTCAGTTTGGCCGGGCGGCCAGCTCTAGGAAGTTCTTCCATTTAAGAATGATGGAGGGCACTATGTTCTTGGGGACCTTCAATGCTGCAGAAATGTTTTGGTACCCTTCCCCAGATCTGTGCCTTGACAAAGTCCTGTCTCGCAGCTCTACGGACAATTCCTTCGACCTCATGGCTTGGTTTTTGCTCTGACATGCACTGTCAAATGTGGGACCTTATATAGAAAGGTGTGTGCCTTTCCAAATCATGTCCAATCAATTGAATTTACCACAGGTGGACTCCAATCAAGTTGTAGAAAGATTTCAAGGATGATCAATGGAAACAGGATGCACCTGAGCTCAATTTTGAGTCTCATAGCAATGGGTCTGAATACTAATGTAAATAAGGTATTTCTGTTTTTTTTTTTTTATACATCTGCAAAAATTTCAGAAAACCTGTTTTTGCTTTGTCATTATGGGGTATTGTGTGTAGATTGATGAGGAAAAAATGAATGTAATACATTTTAGAATAAGGCTGTAACATAACAAAATGTGGAACAAGGGGAAGGTGTCTGAATACTTTCCGAATTCACTGTATATAAAGCAACAATAGATGCTATGCTAACTGATATCCGGACGACGCTGGGCCAATTGTGCGCTGCCCTATGGGACTCCCGGTCACGCCTGGCTGTGACACAGCCTGGGATCGAACCTCAGCCTGTAGTGATGCCTCAACACTGCGATGCAGTGACTTTGACCGCTGCGCCACTCGGGAGGCCAAATCTGCCATTTTCAACCTGAATATATGGGATGACAGTGGCTGTGAGTGTAAAGGGCTACTTGCCTTTATTTAACCAGGTAAATTATGGTGGTATACCTCTATCTCTCTGAGGAGCTCAGACTGTCCACAGGTCTCCAGGTCTTCCAGGGCCTGACACCAGAAACTGTCCTCGTGGTCGAGCATGATGCCGTCACTGTGAGGCTGGCTGGTGTATCTGTGACAACGAACACAGGAAGCTACACGTGTTTAAATGTTACATGTTAGATGAAGCGGTACATCCATGATGCCGTCACTGTGAGGCTGGCTGGTGTATCTGTGACAACGAACACAGGAAGCTACACGTGTTAAATGTTACATGTTAGATGAAGCGGTACATCCATGATGCCGTCACTGTGAGGCTGGCTGGTGTATTGTTTAGTATGTGTTTATTAGGAGCCCCATTTGATTTAGCAGAAGCAGCAGCTACTCTTCCTGGGGTCCACAAGAAACACAAAACATGACATGTAACAGAACACTGATACACTGATAGACAGACAGTCACACACGTTTAAAATACAACAATATACAAACAATACAACTAAAAAAGAAAACAAACAATACAACTAAAAAAGAAAACAAACAATACAACTAAAAAAGAATGTGTGTGTAAGTAAAAAAATGATATGTGTGTATCTGTGGCAACACAATAAAGAATCAGAATATGTGTTACATTTTCCATATAGCAGTACATGAAGCTGTCATTGGCGCCCACAGCTCAACAACAGGCATTCAACAACAGCTGATGTTACAGCAAAACAACATGTGCAGGTCAAGGGAAAAACAAACAGCTACAAAAAGTGGATGAACCCAAGAATGATACTTGAGGGGTGTTTGTTTTATTCTGGTGAGACAGAGCTATGAGAGGAGAGGAGAGGAGAGGAGAGGAGAGGAGAGGAGAGGAGAAGAGAGGAGAGGAGAGGAGAGGAGAGGAGAGGAGAGGAGAGGAGAGGAGAGGAGAGGAGAGGAGAGGAGAGGAGAGGAGAGGAGAGGAGAGGAGAGGAGAGGAGAGGAGAGGAGAGAGAGTGAACAGAGAGAGGAGAGAGAGAGTGAACAGAGAGAGTGGGAGAGAGAGAGAGAGATAGAGAGAGAGTGAACAGAGAGAGAGAGAGAGAGAGAGAGAGAGAGAGACAGAGAGAGGTACAGAGACAAGAGACAGACAGTACAGACAGGAAAAACAGGGCTAAGAGGTATGTGAAAATAATAACATCAATAAAGGACAGTCTTTCACCCTTCACTATTTTGTATGTCTTAATGAATCACATCAATGCATTCCAATGGCTGATATAAATATTGTATAAATATGTTAGCAGATAAGTGGGTTGATGCCGGTTATTACAAGAAGCCATGCTGTGGCTGTCCTGTAAGTTTGATTGAAGACCGCAGGACTGAAACGTGTTGGAGGATAATGGAGCCATTAGTTCAACAGCTCCTCCTCCTGGTTCTCCTCCTGGTTCTACAATAATATTATAACGCATCACAGCTTATTATAAAGCATATTATAATATTATTATTATTAGTAGTATATTATATGGTTGACGTAGGACCAACTCAGTGGCTTTGTGGTTAGAGTGTCCTCCCTGAGACTTACCATTAGCTCATCGTTACCATTAGCTCATCGTTACCATTAGCTCATCGTTACCATTAGATCATCATTACCATTCATCGTTACATTTAGCTCATCATTACCATTCATCGTTACCATTAGCTCATCATTACCATTCATCATTGCCATTAGCTCATTGTTACCATTAGCTCATTGTTACCATTAGCTCAGTACTAACATTAGCTCATCGTTACCATTAGCTCATCGTTACCATTAGCTCAGTACTAACATTAGCTCATTGTTACCATTAGCTCATCACTACCATTAGCTCATAACTACCATTAGCTTATCGTTACCATTAGCTCATCATTACCATTAGCTCATCGTTACCATTAGCTCATCATTACCATTCATCATTACCATTAGCTCATAATTACCATTCATCGTTACATTTAGCTCATCATTACCATTCATCGTTACCATTAGCTCATCATTACCATTCATCATTGCCATTAGCTCATTGTTACCATTAGCTCATTGTTACCATTAGCTCAGTACTAACATTAGCTCATCGTTACCATTAGCTCATCGTTACCATTAGCTCAGTACTAACATTAGCTCATTGTTACCATTAGCTCATCACTACCATTAGCTCATAACTACCATTAGCTTATCGTTACCATTAGCTCATCATTACCATTAGCTCATCGTTACCATTAGCTCATCATTACCATTCATCATTACCATTAGCTCATAATTACCATTCATCGTTACATTTAGCTCATCATTGCATTCATCGTTACCATTAGCTCATGATTACCATTCATCGTTGCAATTAGCTAATCGTTACCATTAGCTCATCGTTACCATTCATCATTACCATTAGCTCATAATTACCATTCATCGTTACATTTAGCTCATCATTACCATTCATCGTTACCATTAGCTCATGATTACCATTCATCGTTGCCATTAGCTCATCGTTACCATTAGCTAATCGTTACCATTAGCTCATCATTACCATTAGCTCATCATTACATTCATCATTACCATTAGCTCATAATTACCATTCATCGTTACATTTAGCTCATCATTACCATTCATCGTTACCATTAGCTCATGATTACCATTCATCGTTGCCATTAGCTCATCGTTACCATTAGCTAATCGTTACCATTAGCTCATTGTTACCATTAGCTTATTGTTACCATTAGCTCAGTACTAACATTAGCTCATTGTTACCATTAGCTCATAATTACCATTCATCGTTACATTTAGCTCATCATTACCATTCATCGTTACCATTAGCTCATGATTACCATTCATCGTTGCCATTAGCTCATCGTTACCATTAGCTCATCACTACCATTAACTCATCATTACCATTAGCTCATCGTTACCATTAGCTCATCGTTAGGATTAGCTCATCGTTACCATTAGCTCATCGTTAGGATTAACTCATCGCTACCATTAGCTCATCACTACCGTTAACTCATCGTTACCATTAGCTCATCGTTACCATTAGCTCATCGTTAGGATTAGCTCATCACTACCATTAGCTCATCGTTACCATTAGCTCATCGTTACCATTAGCTCATCGTTACCATTAGCTAATCGTTACCATTAGCCCATTGTTACCATTAGCTCATCGTTACCATTAGCTCATCGTTACCATTAGCTCATCACTACCATTAACTCATCGTTACCATTAGCTCATCGTTACCATTATCTCATCGTTAGGATTAGCTCATCATTACCATTAGCTCATCACTACCATTAACTAATTGTTACCATTAGCTCATCGTTACCATTAGCTCATCGTTAGGATTAGCTCATCGTTACCATTAGCTCATCGTTACCATTAGCTCATTGTTACCATTAGCCCATCGTTACCATTAGCTCATCGTTACCATTAGCTCATCGTTACCATTAGCTCATCGTTACCATTAGCTCATCACTACCATTGACTCATCGTTACCATTAGCTCATCGTTACCATTAGCTCATCGTTAGGATTAGCTCATCGTTACCATTAGCTCATCGTTAGGATTAGCTCATCATTACCGTTAGCTCATCGTTAGGATTAGCTCATCGTTACCGTTAAAGGTCATGTAGCAGCTAAAGTAGCAGCCGTCGTAATATTAGCTGAAAGTTGATGGTACTGATAACAGTAAATTGAGGCATGAATGGAGGAAAAGGGAACACAATGATGAATACAGATCAAAATGTGTGGGATGACTAAAGTGAATCTGTGACATGAGGGTTATATAATGTTATATAACACTGACTGAATCACAGGCATCATGTGTGACAGTTGAAGAGCAGTTAAAGAGTGCTAACTGGCAGTTCCAGGTCCAGGCACTGGAGAAGCAGGATGGGGAAGTTTAGGTGGGAACCACAGGAGGCTGCTGAGGGGAGGACGGCTCATAATAATGGCTGGAATGGAGTGAATGGAATCGTATCAAACCCATGGAAACCAGGTGTTTGATGTGTTCGATACCTTTTCCATTTATTCTGTTCCAGCGCTTACTATGAGCCCGGCCGCCTGTGGTGGAAACATCAACCATACTCTGGTAAATCTATAGCCTCTCCATGTTATGTAACACTGCATCAGATACATAACGAGTGACAGTTGAGGCATTCAATAAGAGCAGTTAAAGAGTGCTAGCTGGCAGTTACAGGCCCAGGCACTGGAGAAGCAGTGTAGTATAGGTGGGAATAGGGTTGTCAAATTCTGGTCTTATTCAGAAAATTCCCAGGTTTTCCAGAAATCCTGGATGGAAGACTCCCAGAATCAGAAGGGGAAAAAGCAGAAACCTGGGAAATTTGGGAAAGTTACTGGAATTTTGCAACCCAAGGTGGGAACATCAACCTATAACCTGGTAAATCTCTCCATGTTGTGTAAAGCTGCTACAGAGGAATCATGTGTGGTAGTTGAAACAGTTAAAGAGCGTTAGTCAGTTGCAGGGGCTGGATATGAGTAGGTGGGGACATCCCCTACCAAACCTAGATTCTGGTGGATCTACAGAGTTTCTCCAGAATTCTGGTTATGTTCCAATATCCGTTCTAACATACTACTAACATACTACTCACATACTACTCACATACCACTCTCATACTATTAACCTACCACTCACATACCACTCACATACCACTCACATACCACTCACATACTACTAACATACTACTCACATACTACTAACATACTACTCACATACTACTAACATACTACTCACACACTACTCACATAACACGTACATACTATTAACATACTACTAACATACTACTAACATACTACTCACATACTACTCACATACTATTAACATACTACTCACATACTACTCACATACTACTTACATACTATTAACATACTATTAACATACTACTCACATACTACTAACTAACATTCTACTAACATTTACATTTTAGTCATTTAGCAGACGCTCTTATCCAGAGCGACTTACAGTTAGTGAGTGCATACATTTTCATACTGGCCCCCCGTGGGAAACGAACACACAACCCTGGCGTTGCAAGCGCCATGCTCTACCAACTGAGCTACAGGGGACTAACTAACATACTACTCACATATATTAACATACTACTAACTAACATACTAATCCCATACTATTAATATACTACTAACCTACTACTCACTTACTACTAACTAACATACTACTCACATAATACTCACATACTACTAACTAAAGTACTACTAACTAACTAACATACTACTCACATACTATCCACATGCTACTAACATACCACTAGCATACTACTAACCTACTATTCACATTCTACACACATACTAACATACTAATAACCTACTACTCACATACTACTAACACACTACTCGCATAGTACTAACCTACTACAAACCTACTACTCACATACTACTAACATACTACTAACCTACTACTAACATACAGTTGATATACTGTACTACTTACATACTACTAACATACTACTCACATACCATTAAAATACTACTCACATGCTACTAACATACCACTAGTATACTACTCACATACTACTAACATACTACTCACATATTACTAACATACTACTCACATACTACTTACTAACATACTACTCACATACTACTCACATACTACTAACATACTAATCACATACTACTCACATACTATTAACATACTACTCCAATACCATTAACAGACTACTAACCTACAACTCACATACGACTAACTAATATACTACTACCTACAGTGAGGGAAAAAAGTATTTGATCCCCTGCTGATTTTGTATGTTTGCCCACTGACAAAGACATGATCAGTCTATAATTTTAATGGTAGGTTTAATTTAACAGTGAGAGACAGAATAACAACAAAAAATACAGAAAAACGCATGTCAAAAATGTTATAAATTGATTTGCATTTTAATGAGGGAAATAAGTATTTGACCCCTCTGCAAGACATGACTTAGTACTTGGTGGCAAAACCCTTGTTGGCAATCACAGAGGTCAGACGTTTTTTGTAGTTGGCCACCAGGTTTGCACACATCTCAGGAGGGATTTTGTCCCACTCCTCTTTGCAGATTTTCTCCATGTCATTAAGGTTTCGAGGCTGACGTTTGGCAACTCGAAGCTTCAGCTCCCTCCACAGATTTTCTATGGGATTAAGGTCTGGAGACTGGCTAGGCCACTCCAGGACCTTAATATGCTTCTTCTTGAGCCACTCCTTTGTTGCCTTGGCCATGTGTTTTGGGTCATTGTCATGCTGGAATACCCATCCACGACCCATTTGCAATGCCCTGGCTGAGGGAAGGAGGTTCTCACCCAAGATTTGACGGTACATGGCCCCGTCCATCGTCCCTTTGAAGCATAATGTTTCCACCTCCATGTTTGACGGTGGGGATGGTGTTCTTGGGGTCATAGGCAGCATTCCTCCTCCTCCAAACACGGCGAGTTGAGTTGATGCCAAAGAGCTCCATTTTGGTCTCATCTGACCACAACACTTTCACCCAGTTCTCCTCTGAATCATTCAGATGTTCATTGGCAAACTTCAGACGGGCCTGTATACGTGCTTTCTTGAGCAGGGAGACCTTGCGGGCGCTGCAGGATTTCAGTCCTTCACGGTGTAGTGTGTTACCAATTGTTTCCTTGGTGACTACGCTCCCAGCTGCCTTGAGATCATTGACAAGATCCTCCCGTGTAGTTCTGGGCTGATTCCTCACCATTCTCATGATCATTGCAACTCCACGAGGTGAGATCTTGCATGGAGCCCCAGGCCGAGGGAGATTGACAGTTATTTTGTGTTTCATCCATTTGCGAATAATCGCACCAACTGTTGTCACCTTCTCACCAAGCTGCTTGGCGATGGTCTTGTAGCCCATTCCAGCCTTGTGTAGGTCTACAATCTTGTCCCTGACATCCTTGGAGAGCTCTTTGGTCTTGGCCATGGTGGAGAGTTTGGAATCTGGTTGATTGATTGCTTCTGTGGACAGGTGTCTTTTATACAGGTAACAAACTGAGATTAGGAGCACTCCCTTTAAGAGTGTGCTCCTAATCTCAGCTCGTTACCTGTATAAAAGACACCTGGGAGCCAGAAATCTTTCTGATTGAGAGGGGGTCAAATACTTATTTCCCTCATTAAAATGCAAATCAATTAATAACATTTTTGACATGCATTTTTCTGGATTTTGTTGTTGTTATTCTGTCTCTCACTGTTCAAATAAACCTACCATTAAAATTATAGACTGATCATGTCTTTGTCAGTGGGCAAACGTACAAAATCAGCAGGGGATCAAATACATTTTTCCCTCACTGTAACTAACATACCACTCACATCCTACTTACATACTACTCACATACTACTAACTAACATACTACTCACATACTAACCTACTACTCACATAATATTAACATACTACTAACCTACTACTGACATACTACTAACTAACATCCAACTCACAAACTACTCACATACTACTAACTAACATACTACTCGCATAGTACTCACTACTACTAACATACAACTAACATACTATTAACATACTACTCACATACTACTAACTAACATACTACTAACTAACTAACTAACATACCACTCACATCCTACTCACATCCTACTCACATACTACTCACATACTACTCACATACTACTCACATGCTACTAACATACCACTAGTATAATACTAACCCACAACTCACATACTACTCACATACTACTCACATACTAACCTACTACTAACTAACATACTACTAACATAGTACTCACATACTAACCTACTACTAGCATACTACTCACACACTACTCACATACTATTAACATACTACTAACCTATTACTCACATACTACTAACTAACATACTACTTGCATAGTACTCAATACTACTAACTAACCTACAACTAACGTACTATTAACATACTACTCCCATACTATTAACATACTACTAACCTACTACTCACATATTACTAACTAACTAACTAACTAACTAACATACTACTAACATACTAATAACCTACCACTAACATACTACTAACATACTACTAACCTCCTACTAACATACTACTAACATACTACACAGACTACTAACTAACATACTAATAACATACTACTCCAATACTATTAACAGACTACTAACCTACAACTCACATACAACTAACTAACATACTACTAACGAACTAACATACTAACTAACATACTACTAACCTACACTACTAACATACTACTAACATACATACTAACACTCTACTAAACATAACTAACTCTACATACTACTACTACTACCAAACTACTAACTAACATACTAAATAACAACACTCACATACTACTTTAACATACTACTAACATACTAACTCACATACAACTAACTACACATACTACTCACACACTACCATACTAACTATACTACTACTACTCACATCCTACTAAACTACCACTACTACTAACTAACTAACATACTACTCACACTACACTACTACTCACATACTACTCACATACCTACTACTAACATACTACTCAACATACTATACTACACATACTACTACAATACCACTACTCACATACTACTTACATACTACTCACATACTACTAAATAACATACTACTAACTAACTAACTAACATACTACACACCTACTACTAACCTACTACTTACATACTACTCAAATACTACTTACTTAGAATGCATGCCAACAAATTGCAGATTGCAACACATTCGAAGTAGTATGCTAGAGTAGATATGGGGCCAGAGCCTTAGAGGAAGTGCTAAGGGGAGGCTGACACATGAGTCACTCACTGCACCACATACAGCTAGAAAGGCAGAAAACTATCTCATGCAAACCCAGGGGTGAAAGTAAGGTGGTACGGTCCGGTACGGCATCCCAGCAAAATAAAAATAATGGGGGTACACAGTACCAGTAAAACGTGAGCCTATCATAACTAATTCAACATGACCCCCCCAAAAAAACGACAGCCTATTACACCATTATTTAACATTACTGCATGTCAGCCCCATGGAAAATCTTGCGAATTGACTGTAAACCGGATGGTATACGCTCCAAATTGCGTTGCAGTTCGAACAGAGCACTTACATTTTGTCAAGGTGGAGACGAATGGCCGAGACCGAGGCGAGTGTGCAGACAACAGTGGATGCATCAATTCAGGCTACAAGTGTAGGCCCTAATGACAATCGCAGAATGCCATTACTATCACACAGAGCTATTAGTATCAGATTCATTCATTTCCATTCATTTAATTGCGGCTGCACAGTGCACTGTTGGGGTTTGGATGCTGGAATGATTTGTGGACGTATGTGCGCGGGTAAACTACACTCTAAAAAATGTGGGATTCAACAAGGGTTCTTCTAAGATCCTCAAAAGTTATTTGAAGAACCTTAGGGTTCTTGGCAATGAAATGGCCCCCCAAAAAGGTTCTTCCAAGAACCACATAGGAGGCGGGGTTCATCGAGGAACCTCCTTAGTTGGTGGGGGGTTCTTGCAGGAACCTAACTGCCCAACTGAAACATTTGAATTGAATTTGAAAGGACAGCAGGTGCAGACACTTAACTGAAAAATAAAGATCTCCTCAATTTAAGGTAAGGTATTGATCCCTTGTATGATCTAAATTGATATTGTTTTATGATGATACCATCTATCTTTTCATGTATGTGCAAATCTTTCTAAAACAGAAAATGGACACAATTCAATGGATATCAATCAACAGAGGTAAGAATATGTATGCTATAAGAATATGTTGAAGGCTAGCTGTATTGGGTACAGATGACTGAACTGCTCACTTTTGTGTCTGTGTCTGCAGGTATACAGACGAGGAGGCATACAAAGGTATGTCAATTGGTATTGGTATGTCATGCAGATCACATTTACCATCCTCCTTCCTTACCTCGTCAATTAATATCCCATAGGCCTCTACATTATGGACATGGTATGTGTATGAAAACCATTATCAAAACAGTTTTTTTTTCATTCGCATTCACCACAACAACCAAGGTATGAGTACTGTTGTGTGCATGTATAATTACTATTTTTTGGATTCACAGACTTCACCCTCCCTACACCTGTTCGATCACCATGCACTGCAAAAACGATGGATACAGAGAACATCAACACATTAACATCAACACGCCAGAGGATATACCCGCTGGACTTGGGGCTCCGCTGGGTGTTTACCTCATATGTGGATTTTTTTATTCTGCTTTGCCATTAAAATCATAATTAATACTTAGAACTAAAATATTGTGTTATTGTCATGTGTATTATTATTATTATTATTATTAATAATAATAATTACAGGGGAGGAAGGGTAGTTCAAAAATGAACCCCAAAAGGTTCTTCAAAAGATTTTTCGAGGATCAATTAAAAGGGGTTCTTCAAAGAACTTATAGGGGTTCCTCCACAGTTTCAATTTGAAGAACCCCTAAAGGACACTCCAGGAACCTTTTCTTTTTAGTGTGTATAGTGGTATGCGGGTCAGCTGTTTGTTTCTCCTGCACCCGCCCCCGCCCCCAATTGCTAATAACCCATCCGCAACCCCTCGACTATACGTGATAAATGGAAAATCTGAGGCCCGCACTAAATATAGAAAATGCGCTATAGGCTACAGTTCAAAGACGGCGGAACGATGTTTTGACAGGGGGCGCAGGATTTATTTTCTTCCTGATTTAGAATGTGTTTCTGCTTATAATTTCCGACATTTTGGTAGGCTATTTGTTAGTCAACTTGTCTATAATTAGATACATGCAGCTTCTCTTCTGTCATTATATGTTGCCCTAGGAGAATTAAATAAACCCTTGATCACCAGTGTAGTTGATAGTCCCGTGTAGCTCAGTTGGTAGAGCATGGCGTTTGCAACGCCAGGGTTGTGGGTTCGATTCCCACGGGGGGCCAGTATGAAAATGTATGCACTCCCTAACTGTAAGTCGCTCTGGATAAGAGCGTCTGCTAAATGACGTAAATGTAAATCACCAGAATAATGTAATAGATCTAGTTGACATCGGTAAAGTTTTCTCTGTCACCTTTCGCAGAGCAAAGACGCTTAGGGACTGGGGTAGAAAATACAATAACTAAAAAAAATAAAAAACTGGAAAGATTTTCTGTGCAAAATGTCCAAATGACATCAGTTTGACCGGTTGTAAGGAAAAATAAAGCTGTGAAAATGACCCAAAGTGTTTCTGATAACATTTCATTTCGGCTTCGATGCACATTTTATGTGGTTGAAATACTATCAGCTTTTATGATGAAGACAGCACCTTTACAGATGGTATCTAACTGAGCATTGCATTCTCTCAAGAAATAAATACATTATAATTCTCCACTCCTGTTCTCAAGTCCAAATGTTGCCTACATTAGGTGTATCATTTTAAGCAAGAAATGCTTAATTCTGCAGGAGTTATTATTAAGGCTACAGTGAGGGAAAAAAGTATTTGATCCCGTGCTGATTTTGTACGTTTGCCCACTGACAAAGAAATGATCAGTCTATAATTTTAATGGTAGGTTTATTTGAACAGTGAGAGACAGAATAACAACAAAAAAATCCAGAAAAACGCATGTCAAAAATGTTATAAATTGATTTGCATTTTAATGAGGGAAATAAGTATTTGAGAATAATGGAGGCCACTGTGTTCTTGGGGACCTTCAATGCTGCAGAAATTTTTTGGTACCCTTCCCCAGATCTGTGCCTCGACAAAACCCTGTCTCGCAGCTCTACGGACAATTCCTTCGACCTCATGGCTTGGTTTTTGCTCTGACATGCACTGTCAACTGTGGGACCTTATATAGACAGGTGTGTGCCTTTCCAAACCATGTCCAATCAATTGAATTTACCACAGGTGGACTCCTCATCAAGTTGTAGAAACATCTCAAGGATGACCAATGGAAACAGGATGCACCTGAGCTCAATTTCGAGTCTCGTAGCAAAGGGGCTGAATACTTATGTAAATAAGGTATTTCCGTTTTTTATTTGTAATACACTTGCTAAACTTTCTAAAAACCTGTTTTCACTTTGTCATTATGGAGTAATGTGTGCAGATTGCTGAGCATTGTTTATTCATTTAATCCATTTTAGATTAAAGGTTGTAATGTGAGTCCTGAGTGGCGCAGTGGTCTAAGGCACTGCATCGCAGTGCAAACTGTGCCACTAGAGATCCTGGTTCGAATCCAGGCTCTGTCGCAGCCAGCCGCGACCGGGAGACCCATGGGGCCGGCGCACAATTGGCCCAGCGTCGTCCAGGGTAGGGGAGGGAATGGCCGGCAGGGATGTAGCTCAGTTGATAGAGCATGGTGTTTGCAACACCAGGGTTGTGGGTTCGATTTGCACGGGGGGCCAGTATAAAAAAATAAAATAAAATAAAATGTGTTCACTAACTGTAAGTCGCTCTGGATAAGAGTGTCTGCTAAATGACTAAAATGTAAGTGGAAAAGGTCAAGGTGTCTGAATACTTTCCGAAGGCACTGTGAGTCTGCATCGAATGCTTTATTATAAAGGTGCATGTTTATGGTGAAAGTTAGCTTTTTGTTTTGTGCCGCCTCTGTTAAGCAGGTATTGCATGTTAAAATTGATAGGACAAATCTTTACTAGACTTAGGCTACTAGGTCCACAGACATGACATTAATAGGGATTCTATATGTAATCACATTTACATTTGACATTTTAGTCATTTAGCAGACGCTCTTATCCAGAGCGACTTACAGTTAGTGAATGCATACATTTTCATACTGGCCCCCCGTGGGAAACGAACCCACGTCCCTGCCGGCCAAACCCTCCCCTACCTTGGACGACGCTGGGCCAATTGTGCGCCGCCCCATGGGTCTCCCGGTCGCGGCCGGCTGCGACAGAGCCTGGACTCAAACCAGGATCTCTAGTGACACAGCTAGCACTGTGACGCAGTGCCTTAGACCACTGCGCCACTCGGGAATCATCATTCTATGATTCCCCCCCCCCCCCCCTATGCTATAAAAACAAAAATGTCTGCATACACTTGGGTGTCCTGCACTGGTAAGAAATTACATCTACTTTCACCGCTGGGCAGGCCTCACCCCCATTATTTAGCTGTTTGGAAACAATTACAATACTTGTTTTTTTTTCAGCTCGATCTGTGAATCCAGCTTTAGGTGGGTTCGATATCATAAGGGTTACACAGGACTAACATCAAACACCTGGTCAACGTAGTTCTGACTTCATGAGTCTTTGTAGTTCATTTAATGAAACCTGCAAATCCCTGGTCCTGTTAAGGGGCCTCAGTGATTTTTCCCTGAAGGTGCGTCACAGTCATCTTCGTTGAAGCCCCCATCGCTCAGTGATCATATGTGGATTATGACATTCTGTGTAACGTAACACTGAATCAGCTGGCATCATGTGGGACAGTTAAAGAGCCCTGGCTGGCAATAATAATAATAATAATAATAATAATAATAATAATAATAATAATAATAATATGCCATTTAGCAGACGCTTTTATCCAAAGCGCCTTACAGTCATGTGTGCGTACATTTTTACGTATGGGTGGTCCCGGGGATGGAACCCACTACCCTGGCGTTACAAGCGCCGTGCTCTACCAGCTGAGCTACAGAGGACCACCGTTACAGTTCATGACACTCATGAATCACTCAGATGTTTAGTGATGGTGACATCACAAGCGGCTCTCAGGGTCACACAGCTAGAGGCAAAAAACAGACATGCCCTTTTGTTGCTCTGTGAACCCATTTCTGTGTGAACCAATCGCTCTGTGAACCCATTACTGTGTGAACCAATCGCTGTGTGAACCCATTACTGTGTGAACCAATCGCTGTGCGAACCCATTACTGTGTTAACCAATCGCTGTGTGAACCCATTACTGTGTGAACCAATCGCTGTGTGAACCCATTACTGTGTGAACCAATCGCTGTGTGAACCCATTACTGTGTGAACCAATCGCTGTGTGAACCCATTACTGTGTGAACCAATCGCTGTGCGAACCCATTACTGTGTGAACCAATCGCTGTGCGAACCCATTCCTGTGTGAACCCATCAAAAAGAAAAGAAAAGCTCTACACTGTCATTGCTCAGAAGCAATAGCACTACATTTCATAAATACCAACATTTGGACAGCAAGCTGCCTTCATTAGAGTTTAAAGGCTGTGAACCCAGCTTTGCTGTCAGGAGGGTTGCACAGGACTCTGTGGACTAGCTAGACAAACCCTGTCTATAAATCATCGAAGAACACTTCATTTCTGCAACCTGCAAATACCAGATACTGTCATTGGATTTCCCATTGTTGCAACCTGCAAAGATCTGGTACGACCATGAGGCTCCCATTGTAGCAACCTACAAAGACCGGATAATGTTATGGTGCCTACCATTGTTGCAACTGTTCAAGTACCTGCCATTGTTTCAACCTGCAAACTTCCGGCAATTTTACTAGAATTCAGAGTTTTTTTTTTGTTGATATCCTGGTTGGAATATTCCAGATTTTTTTTCCAGATTTTCCTCCTGATTCCAGGAATATTCGAACCAGGATTTCTGGAAAACCGGGGCATTTTGGGGAAAGGCACTACCATTTTTCAACCCTAGTAGCAAAAAGCCCTGGCTCTTATATGGGGCCTCTCTCCTCACTGAGTGTTACTCTGAAAGCTTACATGAGATGTACAGCACATAGCACCTACAGTGTCCATAGGGAGACAGTATACAAGCAGGGGTGAGATGTTTGGCTTGAGGCTGATGGGTGTCCTAAAATGTACACCGTGCAAAGGGGGTCTCCACAGTGAGTCTTACCCTGACGGTTTGTCCCAGTCATCTTCACTGAAGCCGCCATCACTAAAGGGGTGGATCTTATTACGTCTGGCCGGGGCTGGGGGGCTGTTCCTCTGCTTGGCACTCCGCCACTCATGGGGGTGCAGGGCGATGCCTGCTGCCTGGTGGTTGTAGGGCCCTGCAGTGGGAAGCAAAGGAGGTCAGGTGGAATAAAAAGGACCATTTGGAATTGACAGACCCAATAGGATCACCTGTGTACAAACCAATTGGGCTGGAAGGACCATGACAAAGACTTGGATAAGGATACATAAACTATATCACCATAGATTTATCAACTATATCACCATAGATATATCAACTATATCACCATAGATACATAAACTATATCACCATAGATACATAAACTATATCACCATAGATACATAAACTATATCACCATAGATACATAAACTACAGTGCCCTCCACTATTATTGGCACCCCTGTTTAAGATGTGGTCGAGGACTTCCAAAAATTCTCATTTTTTTTAAAAACAACATAGAACCCAAATGCAAAAAAAGAGAAAAATCCAACCTTTTATTTAAGTACATTACTTTGGTGGTAAAAAAAAAAATCACACATTTAGAAAAAAAAAAATTTGAAATCATGTGTCCCACAATTATTGGCACCCCTAACAATTCCGCTGAAAATTTTAATTGAATTTTTAAAAAATATATTTTTCTGTAGTTGCTAAAGTTGGTCAGGGTATCTAGGAACTTTTAATTAGTAATTCATGACTTCCTGTTTCCCTGGGGTATAAATATGACGTGACACAGAGGCCTAATTCTCTTACCCATTTGTCAACATGGCAAAGACAAGAGAACACACCATTCAAGTAAGGCAGATTTGTGTCGACCTTCATAAGTCAGGCAATGGCTACAAGAAAATAGCCACTCGCCTTAACTTGCCCGTATCTACAGTCAGAGGAATCATTAAGAAGTTTAAAACAACTGGAACAGTGACAAACAAGGCTGGAAGAGGTCCCAAGTTTATCTTGCCACAACGCACAGTGAGGAGGATGGTAAGAGAAGTAAAAAAAAGTCCTAAGCTCACTGTCACAGAATTGCATCAAAGAATGGCATCTTGGGGTCACAAAGTCTCCAAAACAACCATCAGACGCTCTCTACATGCCAACAAGCTGTTTGGGAGGCATGCAAGGAAAAAGCCTTTTCTCACTAACACTCACAAACGTAAACGTCTGGAGTTTGCTAAGCGGCACTGGGACTTCAACTGGGATCGTGTGCTTTGGTCAGATGAGACTAAGATTGAGCTTTTTGGCAACAAACACTCTAAGTGGGTCTGGCGTAAAACAAAAGATGAGTATGCCGAAAAGCACCTCATGCCCACCGTGAAGTATGGTGGAGGATCTGTGATGCTGTGGGCCTGTTTCTCTTCCAAAGGCCCTGGGAACCTTGTTAGGGTGCATGGCATTATGAATGCTTTGAACTACCAGGACATTTTAAATAAAAACCTGATGGCCTCTGCCAGAAAGCTGAAGATGGGTCGTCATTGGGTCTTTCAGCAGGATAATGATCCAAAACATGTGGCAAAATCTACACAAAAATGGTTCAGCAGTCACAAACTCAAGGTCCTCCCATGGCCATCTCAATCCCCAGACCTCAACCCAATCGAAAACCTGTGGGGCGAGCTAAAGAGGAGAGTGCATAAGACAGGACCCAGGACACTGGATGATCTAGAAAGATTGTGCAAAGAAGAATGGTCAAAGATCCCTCTCTCTGTGTTCTCCAATCTTGTGAAATGTTATAGGAGGAGATTAAGTGCTGTCTTGTTGGCAAAAGGGGGTTGTACAAAGTATTAACATCAGGGGTGCCAATAATTGTGGGACACATGATTTCAAGTTGTTTTTTTTCTAAATGTGTGATTTTTTTTTTTTTACACCAAAGTAATGTACTTAAATAAAAGGTTGGATTTTTCTCTTTTTTTGCATTTGGGTTCTATGTTGTTTAAATAAAAATGAGCATTTTTGGAAGTCCTCGACCAAATCTTAAACAGGGGTGCCAATAACTGTGGAGGGCACTGTATATCACCATAGATATATCAACTATCTCACCATAGATATATCAACTATATCACCATAGATATATCAACTATATCACCATCGATATATCAACTATATCACCATAGATATATCAACTATATCACCATAGATACATAAACTATATCACCATAGATATATCAACTATATCACCATAGATATATCAACTATATCACCATAGATACATAAACTATATCACCATAGATACATAAACTATATCACCATAGATACATAAACTATATCACCATAGATATATCAACTATATCACCATAGATATATCAACTATATCACCATAGATATATCAACTATATCACCATAGATATATCAACTATATCACCATAGATATATCAACTATATCACCATAGATATGTCAACTATAGCACCATAGATATATCAACTATATCACCATAGATATATCAACTATATCACCATAGATATGTCAACTATAGCACCATAGATATATCAACTATATCACCATAGATATATCAACTATATCACCATAGATATATCAACTATATCACCATAGATATATCAACTATATCACCATAGATATATCAACTATATCACCATAGATATATCAACTATATCACCATAGATATATCAACTATATCACCATAGATATACCAACTATATCACCATAGATATATCAACTATATCACCATAGATATATCAACTATATCACCATAGATATATCAACTATATCACCATAGATATATCAACTATATCACCATAGATATGTCAACTATAGCACCATAGATATATCAACTATATCACCATAGATATACCAACTATATGAAACAGTATGAAAATGTATGCATTCACTAACTGTAAGTCGCTCTGGATAAGAGCGTCTGCTAAATGACTAAAATGTAAATGTAAATGTATATCACCATAGAGTCTGTGCTGCCCTGTGGGGTCTAACCTTGGATGTCGTAGCAAGCATTGACGCTGGAGACGTCCCAGGACACTGGGGATGTTATATGTTGTTACACCAAGTATAGGCCTATCACTAACCCTAACCACAACCCTACCACTGGTTTCACCATGTCTACCACTAGTCTTTACCTTGGCTGCCGTAGCCGGCGTCGATGCCGGATCCGTCCCAGGACTCCATGGCAGAGTCCACACTGGGGATGGTGGTGGAGTAGATCTCTGACAGCTTATTGGTCTTCTGAGAGTCCGTCATGTCTGACACGTCCTCTGTGTCACTCAAATCATTCTCCATCTCTCCGTCCTGTTTCTTCTCTTCTGCCACTGAGTGAGGAAGAGAGGAAAACCTGTTCAGAGAAGGGTCTCTGTCTGGGCACATGGTCTCTGTCTGGGCACATGGTCTCTGTCTGGGCACATGGTCTCTGTCTGGGCACAGTGTCTCTGTCTGGGCACATGGTCTCTGTCTGGGCACATGGTCTCTGTCTGGGCACATGGTCTCTGGTCAACAGTAGGGCACTATATGTCTCTGGTCAACAGTAGGGCACTATATGTCTCTGGTCAACAGTAGGGCACATGGTCTCTGGTCAACAGTAGGGCACTATATGTCTCTGGTCAACAGTAGTACACTATATGTCTCTGGTCAACAGTAGGGCACATGGTCTCTGGTCAACAGTAGTACACTATATGTCTCTGGTCAACAGTAGGGCACTATATGTCTCTGGTCAACAGTAGGGCACTATATGTCTCTGGTCAACAGTAGGGCACTATAGGTCTCTGGTCAACAGTAGGGCACTATATGTCTCTGGTCAACAGTAGTACACTATATGTCTCTGGTCAACAGTAGTACACTATATGTCTCTGGTCAACAGTAGGGCACTATATGTCTCTGGTCAACAGTAGGGCACATGGTCTCTGGTCAACAGTAGTACACTATATGTCTCTGGTCAACAGTAGGGCACATGGTCTCTGGTCAACAGTAGTACACTATATGTCTCTGGTCAACAGTAGGGCACTATATGTCTCTGGTCAACAGTAGGGCACTATATGTCTCTGGTCAACAGTAGGGCACTATAGGTCTCTGGTCAACAGTAGGGCACTATAGGTCTCTGGTCAACAGTAGGGCACTATATGTCTCTGGTCAACAGTAGTACACTATATGTCTCTGGTCAACAGTAGTACACTATATGTCTCTGGTCAACAGTAGGGCACTATATGTCTCTGGTCAACAGTAGGGCACTATATGTCTCTGGTCAACAGTAGTACACTATATGTCTCTGGTCAACAGTAGTACACTATATGTCTCTGGTCAACAGTAGGGCACTATAGGTCTCTGGTCAACAGTAGGGCACTATAGGTCTCTGGTCAACAGTAGGGCACTATATGTCTCTGGTCAACAGTAGTACACTATAGGTCTCTGGTCAACAGTAGTACACTATAGGCAATAGGGTGCCATTTGGGACCCAGATTATTAATACATCCAAAAGCTTAAACAATGTTCTCATTCGTGAGCTGTCGAAGGGTGGGAAGAAAATACCATACCTGGGTCAAATATATATGTAAAATACTTTCAAATACACAGTAGATTATGAATCTCAAATACGCAGTACATTATGAATCTCAAATACACAGTACATTATGAATCTCAAATATGCAGTACATTATGAATCTCAAATACGCAGTACATTATGAATCTCAAATACGTGAAAGTACTTGAGGTGTTCTTGATTTAGATTTAGCTTGCTGTTTTGGGCATTTTTCGGATTATTACATTGGTTTCACTGTACCGGGCAGACTAAATGCATCTCCGCTCATGTATTGGAAAGTATCTGAGATACACTACATGACCTAAAGTATGTGGACACCTGCTCGTCGAACATCTCATTCCAAAATCATGGGCATTAATATGGAGTTGGTCCCCCCCTTTGCTGCTATAACAGCCTCCACTCTTCTGAGAAGGCTTTCCACTAGATGTTGGACTTGCTTCCATTAAGCCACAAGAGCATTAGTGAGGTCGGGCACTGATGTTGGGCGATTAGGCCTGGGTCGCAGTCGGCGTTCCAATTCATCCCAAAGATGTTCGATGGGGTTGAGGTCAGGGATCTGTGCAGGCTAGTCAAATTCTTCCACACCAATCTTGACAAACCATTTCTGTATGGACCTCGCTTTGTGCCGGAGGGCATTGTCATGCTGAAACAGGAAAGGGCCTTCCCTAAATGATTGCCATAAAGTTTGAAGCACAGAATCGTCTAGAATGTCATTGTATGCTGTAGCTTTAAGATTTCCCTTCACTGGAACTAAGGGGCCCAGCCTGAACCATGAAAAACAACCCCAGACCATTATTCCTCCTCCACCAAACTTTACAGTTAGCACTATGCATTGGGCAGGTAGTGTTCTCCTGGCATCCGCCAAACCCAGATTCGTCCGTCGGACTGCCAGATGGTGAAGCGTGATTCATTACTCCAGAGAACGAGTTTCCACTGCTCCAGAGTCCAATGGCGGCGAGCATTTGTACCACTCCGGCTGACGCTTGGCATTGCGCATGGTGATCTTAGGCTTGTGTGTGGCTGCTCGGCCATGGAAACCCAGTTCATGAAGCTCCCGACTAAAGGTTATTGTACTGAGCAGTTTGGAAGTCGGTAGTGAGTGTTGCAACCGAGGACAGACTATTTTTACGAACTACACACTTCAGCACTGGGCGGTCCCTTCTGTGAGCTTGTGTGGCCTACCACTTCGTGGCTGAGCTGTTGTTGCTGCTCGACGTTTCCACTTCACAATAGCAGCATTTACAGTTGACCGTGGCAGCTCTAGCAGGGCAGAAATGTGATGAACTGACTTGTTGGAAAGGTGGCATCCTATGATGGTGCTATGTTGAAAGTCACTGAGCTCTTCAGTAAGGCCATTCTACTGCCAATGATTGTCTATGGAGATTGCATGAATGTGTGCTCGATTTTATACACCTGTCAGCAACGGGTGTGGCTGAAATAGCCGAATCCACTAATTTGAAGGGGTGTCCACGTACTTTTGTATATATAGTGTATGTATTTGACCAAGCTAGGTCTGGAAAATGAATTTGTTTATTTGTCAGGGCCAATGGCACAACAAAACCATTGCACAAACATTGCACAACCACAACAACAACAACCACTGCAACATTTATATAAAAAATGTTGCATCTATTACTGTGGTCCCTAATAATGTAATGACAAATAATCAGTATGTCATAAACAACATTTAATTTACCCCCACCACTCAAAAGCATGACAGCATTAACTGTTTTTCCATGGACATTTTTTTATGTGATCATACATCATACTAATTTCAGAGCAGATAACGTTATTTAAACACAGTGCAGGTCATCAGAGAAAGGATAAGTATAGTTAGATTTTTCTTTTTTGTACATAATGATTTTTTGCTGGTTTTATGGGGAGGAAAACCTCAGAACCACATGAACCTCATACCACATGAATTAGGAAGATGATCTGTTATGGGATTCTCTAAGACAACTATCTGAGTTGGAGCAGAGAGGAGGCAGAGCTCCCATACCAGCAACACAGTATCAGATGGTAACTACCAGCAGCACTCTGTAGCAAATTCACCCAAACTGCCTGGTTTCATGTATTTGTCAGTACGTTTAAATGTGAAACTACAAATGTCTGGTTACATCTCAGATGTCTGTCCTCAAACCATTTGAGATCCGGTGACTGTGCTGGCCACTCCATTATAGACAGAATACCAGCTGACTGCTTCTTCCCTGCATAGTTTGGAGCTGTGCTTTGGGTCATTGTCCTGTTGTAGGAGGAAATTGGCTCCAATCAAGCGCCGTCCACAGGGTATGGCATGACGTTGCAAAATGGAGTGATAGCCGTCCTTCTTCAAGATCCCTTTTACCCTGTACAAATCTCCCACTTTACCACCACCAAAGCACCCCCAGACCATCACATTGCCTCCACCATGCTTGACAGATGGCATCAAGCACTCCTCCAGCATCTTTTCATTTGGTCTGTGTCTCACAAATGTTATTCTTTGTGATCCGAACACCTCAAACTTCGATTTGTCTGTCCATAACACTTTTTTCCAATCTTCCTCTGTCCAGTGTCTGTGTTCTTTTGCCCATCTTAATCTTTTCTTTTTATTGGCCAGTCTGAGATATGGCTTTTTCTTTGCAACTCTGCCTAGAAGGTCAGCATCCCGGAGTCGCCTCTTCACTGTTGACATTGAGACTGATGTTTTGCGGGTACTATTTAATGAAGCTGCCAGTTGAGGACCTGTGAGGCGTCTGTTTCTCAAACTAGACACCCTAATGTATTTGTCCTCTTGCTCAGTTGTGCACCGGCGCATCCCACTCTTCTTTCTATTCTGGTTAGTTATTATTTGTTTCTGGCCATTTTGAGCCTGCAATCGAACCCACAATTGCTGATGCTCCAGATACTCAACTAATCTCAAGAAGGCCAGTTTTATTGCTTCTTTAATCAGCACAACAGTTTTCAGCTGTGCTAACATAATTGCAAAAGTGTTTTCTAATGATCAATTAGCCTTTTAAAACGATAAACTGGATTAGCAAACACAACATGCCATTGGAACACAGTACTGATGGTTGCTGATAATGGGCCTCTGTACGCCTGTGTAGATATTCCATAAAAAACCAGCCGTTTCCAGCTACAATAGCCATTTACAACATTAACAATGTCTACACTGTATTTCTGATCAATTTGATGTTATTTTAATGGACAAAATAATTTTGCTTTTCTATCGAAAACAAGGACATTTCTAAGTGACCCCAAACTTTTGAATGGTAGTGTATAGAATACTATACATCTGAGAGCAATGGTTGGGCACAGCTATTTGGTGAAGCAAGCTACCTCCCAGTGTTAACACTAACTGTCCTTGAGAAAAGGGTCTGATACCATGTACAGTACCAGCAAGGTAAAACAACAGCTGCCCCAACTGTACCACCTCCCGAGTGGCGCAGTGGTCTAAGGCACTGCATCGCAGTGCTAGCTGTGCCACTAGAGATCCTGGTTCGAATCCAGGCTCTGTCGTAGCCGGCCGCGACCGGGAGACCCATGGGGTGGCGCACAATTCGTCCAGGGTAGGGGAGGGAATGGCCGGCAGGGATGTAGCTCAGTTGGTAGAGCATGGCGTTTGCAACGCCAGGGTTGTGTGTTCGATTCCCACGGGGGGCTAGTATGAAAAATAAAATAAATAATGTATGCACTCACTAACTGTAAGTCGCTCTGGATAAGAGCGTCTGCTAAAATGACTAAAATGTAAATGTAAAAAGTAGTTTCATCAGCAATGATGTGGTTACTACAGTCGTCCTGCTTGCTCTTTGGGGTCTAGGCCAGGTAACTGTAAAAGCACAGTTGATTGATTGATTTTCTGAACACTTACTGTCGACCTGTTTCTTGATCTTGAGTGTGACTGTCTCCCCGGCCATCTGCAGTAGGTGGATGGCCTCGCTGAGCGGCTTGCCCTTCAGACTGACCATGTTGATGGCCAGAATACGGTCTCCAACATGGATCGCTCCGGTCCTACAGAGAAAGATGACAGGTCCCTTTTTACACCACATGACAGTAATATGACAGTATTCCATGGATAATTATAATATATATATAAAATATAAAATAATTCCAGTGCCTAAGAAATAAGACGGGTCATTCTAAGATAAACATAAGAGACAGATGAGAGAGAAAGATACTTAATTTATTTATTTTAAGCTGACTTAGATTTTCCATGATTCCTGTTTAACCCAACCAACCATACAGTACATATCTAACGATGTCATTTAATAAATGATTTACATACGTACAAGCCTTTAACTAAAAGAGAACAAGTTTAAAAACGTTATTTATTTATATAACAGCAGTAACAATGTAAACATCCGAGTGATGGGGCTTGAGAAATATAACCACTCTAAAATAGACAGAGCAATGGATGCAAGGACTGACCATCCATGAGATCAAAATGATAGATTTAAACATGTTTTGAAGTGATAGTGTTTGTTTGCATTGACTTTCTTTATAGACATTGGAGTAAAACAAGCTTATATTTGGGGTTCTGATGGGGCACGAAATTTGAACTAAGCTCACAAGGCATTTATAAGTTATATTCTTCAAGAATCAATGGCTATATATCATTAATTTAACAGTCCAAAAATGGATTTAGCAACTGCATATTGCCCCTTTAAGTTAACTAAAAAGTCAAATTTTGATTTCAAAGAACAGAGGTGAAACAATGGTAAGCCTCTGTCTGCATTGTGTTCTCTGACCAGGAGATACGATAGTACCCCACTCTGTTGATGCCTACCAAACTGACCTGGGTTTAAGAAGTATTTGTTTTCTTTCAAATACTTTGAGTGTTTGATTGATCCTGTCTGGAGCGCAAGATGGGTGAGGTTTGCACTTTTGGGACTATTCTATCAGTTCCATTGCAGCAGAGAAACTCAATCAAGCAAAGCTTTAAAACATATATTTCAAATACTATTTGAACCAAAGCCTACACCAAAAAAACAAGGACACAGGGTTTAGTTAAGCAATAAGGCCAGAGGAGGTGTGGTATATGGCCAATTTACCACGGCTAATGGCTGTTCTTACGCATGACGCTATGTGGACTGCCTGGCATTAGCCGTGGTATATTGGCCATATACCACAACCCCCCGGAGGTGCCTAATTGCTATTATAAACTGGTTACCAATGTACAGTACCAGTCAAAAGTTGGGACACACCTACTCACTCAAGGGTTTTTCTTCATTTGTACTATTTTGTACATTGTAGAATAATAGTGAAGACATCAAAACTATGAAATAACACATATGGAATCATGTAGTAACCAAAAAAGTGTTAAACAAATCAAAATATATTTTAGATTTTAGATTCTTCAAAGTAGCCACCCTTTGCCTTGATGACAGCTCTGCACACTCTTGGCATTCTCTCAATCAGCTTCATGAGGAATGCTTTTCCAACAGTCTTGAAGGAGTTCCCAAATATGCTGAGCACTTGTTGGCTGCTTTTCCTTCACTCTGCGGTCCAACTTATCCCAAAGCATCTCAATTGGGTTGAGGTCAGGTGATTGTGGAGGCCAGGTCATCTGATGCAACACTCCATCACTCTCCTTCTTGGTCAAATAGCCTTTACACAGCCTGGAGGTGTGTTGGGTCATTGTCCTGTTGAAAAACAAATGATAGTCCCACTAAGCGCAAACCAGATGGGATGGCGTATCGCTGCAGAATGCTGTGGGAGCCATGCTGGTTAAGTGTGCCTTGAATTCTAAATAAATCACTGACAATGTCACCAGCAAAGCACCTTCTCACAAAGACCCGGCAGTTTGAACCAAAAATCGCACATTTGGACTCATCAGACCAAAGGACAGATTTCCACCGGTCTAATGTCCATTGCTCGTGTTTCTTGGCCAAAGCAAGTCTCTTCTTCTTATTGGTGTCCTTTAGTAGTGGTTTCTTTGCAGAAATTCGACCATGAAAGTCTGATTCTTGCAGTCTCCTCTGAACAGTTGATGTTGAGATGTATCTGTAACTTGAACTCTGTGAAGCATTTATTTGGGTGCAGTTAACTCTAATGAACTTATCCTCTGCAGCAGAGGTGACTCTGGGTCTTCCTTTCCTGTGGCAGTCCTCATGAGAGCCAGTTTCATCACAGCGCTTGATGGTTTTTGCGACTGCACTTGAAGAAACTTTCAAAGTACTTGTAATGTTCCGTATTGACTGACCTTCATGTCTTAAAGTAATGATGGACTGTCGTTTCTCTTTGCTTATTTGAGCTGTTCTTGCCATAATATGGACTTGGTCTTTTACCAAATAGGGCTATCTTCTGTATACCCTTGTCACAACACAACTGATTGGCTCAAACACAAATCAACTTTTAAGAAGGCACACCTCTTAATTAAAATGCATTCCAGGTGACTACCTCATGAAGCTGGTTGAGAGAATGCCAAGAGTGTGCAAAGCTGTCATCAAGGCTAAGGGTGGCTACTTTGAAGAATTTATTTAACACTCTTTTGGTTACTACATGTGTTATTTCCTAGTTTTGATGTCTTCACTATTATTCTACAATGTAGAAAATAGTAAAAATAAAGAAAAACCCTTGAATGAGTAGTTGTGTCCAAACTTTTGACTGGTACTGTAATTAGAACAGTAAATAGTCATTTTCTTTACCATACCCGTGGTATACTATGGCTTTCAGCCAATTAGCATTCAGGGCTCGAACCACCCGGTTTCTGATTGGCTTGACGGGCATTCTAGAGCGCGCATTATTTCCCTATAACTCACTATATATCCGCACGGTATAACTAAATGGCTATAGTTCATTCTTACATGTTCTATGTTTAAGCTGCTTTTGAAAGCAAAAGTCGAATTGAAAACATTATTGGCATTGTTGAATTCGATTTTCATAAGTGCTGTGCGCCTCACATTTTTTAACAATGCGGACGGCTCCGTATCGTTCTGCGTTGACATGATTGGTTTATGGTAGGTGCGGGCGGTACGTCTTGTATAAACACAAATTCACTTCATTGACAACTTCCCTTTACAGCAGCTCTGCTCTGCGAAGCACCAGTAGTATGAATGCCCTGACTCCCCCACAGGCCGCATCGCAGTAGAAGCTGTACGGCCAATGCAGATACCGGAATGACCATAAATCAGCTTTTAATTTGCATAACTGATACGGTGCCTTCAGAATGTATTCACACCCCTTGACTTTTTCCATATTTTGGTTACAGCCTGCATTTAAAATTGAATAAATGTAGATTTTTTTGTCACTGGCCTACACACAATACCCCATAATGTCAAAGTGGAATTATGTTTTAAATGAAAAGCTGAAATGTCTTGAGTCAATAAGTATTCAACCCCTTTGTTATGGCAAGCCTAAATAAGTTCAGGAGTACAAATGTGCTTAACAATTCATATAATAAGTTGCATGGACTGTGTTCAAATGGAGTGTTTAACATGATTTTTGAATGACTACCTCATCTCTGTACCCCCACACATACAATTATCTGTAAGGTCCCTCAGTCGAGCAGTGAATTTCAACCACAAAGAACAGGGAGGTTTTTCAACGCCTCGCAAAGAAGGGCTCCTATTGGTAGATGGGTATAGGAAAAAAAGCAGACATTGAATATCCCTTTGAGCATGGTGAAGTTATTCATTACACTTTGGATGGTGTATCAATACACCCAGTCACTACAAAGATACAGGCGTCCTTCCTAACTCAGTTGCCGGAGAGAAAGGAAACTACTTAGGGATTTCACCATGAGGCCAACGGTGACTTCCCACCTGGACATGAGGAACACCTATGTGAGAATGCTATTCATTGACTACAGCTCAGCATTCAACACCATAGTGCCCTCTAAGCTCATCACTAAGCTAAGGATCCTGGGACTAAACACCTCCCTCTGCAACTGGATCCTGGACTTCCTGACGGGCCGCCCCCAGGTGGTAAGGGTAGGTAACAACACATCTGCCACACTGATCCTCAACACGGGGGCCCCTCAGGGGTGCGTGCTCAGTCCCCTCCTGTACTCTCTGTTTACCCATGACTGCATGGCCAGGCACGACTCCAACACCATCATTAAGTTTGCCGACGACACAACAGTGGTAGGCCTGATCACCGACAACGATGAGACAGCCTATAGGGAGGAGGTCAGAGACCTGGCCGTGTGGTGCCAGGACAACAACCTCTCCCTCAACGTGACCAAGACAAAGGAGATGATTGTGGACTACAGGAAAAAAAAGAGGACTGAGCACGCCCCCATTCTCATCGACGGGGCTGTAGTGGAACAGGTTGAGAGCTTCAAGTTCCTTGGTGTCCACATCACCAACGAACTATCATGGTCCAAACACACCAAGACAGTCGTGAAGAGGGCACGACAAAGACTATTCCCCCTCAGGAGACTGAAAAGATTTGGCATGGGTCCTCAGATCCTCAAAAAATTCTACAGCTGCACCATCGAGAGCATCCTGACTGGTTGCATCACCGCCTGGTATGGCAACTGCCTGGCCTCCGACCGCAAGGCACTACAGAGAGTAGTGCGTACGGCCCAGTACATCACTGGGGCCAAGCTTCCTGCCATCCAGGACCTCTATACCAGGCGGTGTCAGAGGAAGGCCCTCAAAATTGTCAAAGACTCCAGCCACCCTAGTCATAGACTGTTCTCTCTGCTACCGCACGGCAAGCGGTACCGGAGTGCCAAGTCTAGGTCCAAAAGACTTCTCAACAGCTTCTACCCCCAAGCCATAAGACTCCTGAACAGCTAATCATGGCTACCCGGACTATTTGCACTGCCCCCCCACCCCATCCTTTTTACGCTGCTGCTACTCTGTTAATTATTTATGTATAGTCACTTTAACTCTACCCACATGTACATATTACTTCAACTACCTCAACTAGCCGGTGCCCCCGCACATTGACTCTGCACCGGTACCCCCCTGTATATATAGCCTCCCTACTGTCACTTTATTTTACTGTATATATAGCCTACCTACTGTTATTTTATTTTACTTCTGCTCTTTTTTTTCTCAACACTTTTTTTGTTGTTGTTTTATTTTTACTTTTTTTGTTAAAAATAAATGCACTGTTGGTTAAGGGCTGTAAGTAAGCATTTCACTGTAATGTCTGCACCTGTTGTATTCGGCGCATGTGACCAATAAAATTTGATTTGATTTGACTTTAAAACAGTTACAGAGTTTAATGGCTGTGATAGGAGAAAAATGAGGATGGATCAACAACATTGTAGTTACTCCACAATACTAACCTAATTGACAGATTGAAATAAGGCACTAAATTAAAACAGCAAAACATGTGGCAAAGAAATTAACTTCATGTCCTTAATACAAAGTGTTATGTTTGGGGCAAATCCAACACAACACATCACTCTGTACCGCTCTTCCTATTTTCAAGCATGGTGGTGGCTGCATCATGTTATTGGTATGCTTGTCATCGGCAACGACTAGGGAGTTTTTTAGGATAAAAATAAACAGAATAGACCTAAGCACAGGCAAAATCCTAGAGGAAAACCTGGTTCAGTCTGCTTTCCAACAGACACTGGGAGACAAATTCACCTTTCAGCAGGACAATAACCTAAAATACAAGACCAAATATACACTGGAGTTGCTTACCGAGATAACATTGAATGTTACAGTTTTGACTTAAATCGGCTTGAAAATCTATGTCAACACTTGAAAATGGCGTTCTAGCAATGATCAACAACCAACTTGACAGAGCTTGAAGAATTTTTGAAAGAATAATGTGCAAATATTGTACAATCCAGGTGTGGAAAGCTCTTAGAGACTTACCCAGAAAGACTCACAGCTGTAATCGCTGCCAAAGGTGATTCTAACATGTATTGACTCAGGGGGTTGAATACTTATCTAATCAAGATATATATTTTTTTCATTATTTGTAAAAAAAAAAAAAAATATGTTAGAATTTTTCTTCAAATTTGACATTACGGTGTATTTTGTGTAGATCGTTAACAAAAAATGACATTTACATCAAATGTATTTTTATTTTTTTGGTAACACAACAAAATGTGGAAAAGGTCAGGGGGTGTGAATACTTACTGAAGGCAATGTAGCTCTGGATCATATGCATCAGCCTATAAGGAACAGAATGCTAACCTGCCTACAAGGAGCTTTACCTATGAACCGGTCACCAAGGAAGCATCTTGACTTATCAGCCTCTGAGGCTGCTATTAAATCTGATCAGACTGTCAGGAATGGAGCTCCACCCACTCTGTAGTGCCCCTCATAATTATACACACACAGTGCATTCGGAAAGTATTCAGACCCCTTCCCCTTTTTCCACATTTTGTTATGTTACCGCCTTTTTCTAAAATGGATTAAATAATTTGTTCCTTTACTCAGTACTTTGTTGAAGCACCTTTGGCAGTGATTACAGCCTCTAGTCTTCTTGGGTATGACGCTACACGCTTGGCACACCTGTATTTGGGGAGTTTCTCCCATTCTTCTCGGCAGATCCTCTCAAGCTCTGTCAGGTTGGATGGGGAGCGTCGCTGCACAGCTATTTTGGGTCTCTCCAGAGATGTTCGCTCTCTCCTAGCTGGACAAGGCCATAGCCTTGGTGTGGTGAGGGGAAGGAGTCAGTTCTAACCCCACAGTCAGGGGCCCTTTGTGGGAAAAGCCAGGGTCCAGGATCCCCTATCTCACCTTTCAGCCAGGCCCCGCTTGGTGAGGCCAGAGATGACGATGGGGTCAAAGGGCTCCTCTGTGCCTGAGATGGTGATGCCCAGCGGGCCTCCATATCTCTTCAGCTCTACCGTATAGATGATAGAACCAGATGTCTCCTGTTCATCTAGGAGGAGGGAGAGAGAGGGAGAGAAAGAGAGAGAGAGAGGGGGGGGGAGACCATTAGAGAAAGAGAGAGAGGGAGAGAGAGAAAGAGAGACGAGGGAGACCATTAGAAAAAGAGAGAGAGACAGAGAGAGAGAGAGAGAGAGAGAGAGAGAGAGAGAGAGAGACAGAGAGAGACAGAGAGAGACAGAGAGAGACAGAGAGAGACAGAGAGAAAGAGATATGGAGGAAGGAAGGGATGTATTCATGGCGTAACTAAACTTTAAAGCAATAGAGATAATCATTCAGCTCCCTAAACATCTCAAACATCCACAATTCACAGGTAGAAAGGCATACAACTTGAATAATGGCTGAAGGATGGCTATTCACCTTCCGTACAGTATAAGAAATGCATAGAGGAAATGCAAATTCCCTCATGACTTTGATGGCTTTTTTCTTAGATATACACTCATGACCAAAAGTATGTGGACACCTGCTCGTCGAACATGTCATTCCAAAAGCATGTCCATTAATATGGAGTTGGTCCCCCCCTTTTTGCTGCTATAACAGCCTCCACTCTTCTGGGAAGGCTTTCCACTAGATGTTGGAACATTGCTGCAGGGACTCGCTTCTATTCAGCCACAAGAGCATTAGTGAGGTCGGGCACTGATGTTGGGCGATTACGCTTGGCTCACAGTCGGCGATCCAATTCATCCCAAAGGTGTTCGATGGGGTTGAGGTTAGGGCTCTGAGCAGACCAGTCAAGTTCTTCCACACCGATCTCAACCAACCATTTCTGTATGGACCTCGCTTTGTGCATGGGGACATTGTCATGCTGAAACAGGAAAGGGCCTTCCCCAAACTGTTGCCACAAAGTTGGAAGCACAGAATAATCTAGAATGTCATTGTATGCTGTAGCTTTAAGATTTCCCTTCACTGGAACTAAGGGGCCTTGCACGAACCATGAAAAACAGCCCCAGACCATTATTCCTCCTCCACCAAACTTTACAGTTAGCACTATGCATCAGGGCAGGTAGCGTTCTCCTGGCATCCACCAAACCCAGATTCGTCCGTCGGACTGCCAGATGGTGAAGCGTGATTCATCACTCTAGAGAACGCGTTTCCACTGCTCCAGAGTCCAATGGCGGCGAGCATTTGTACCACTCCGGCTGACGCTTGGCATTGCGCATGGTGATCTTAAGCTTGTGTTCGGCTGCTCGGCCATGGAAACCCATTTCATGAAGCTCCCGACGAACAGTTCTTGTGCTGACGTTGCTTCCAGAGGTAGTTTGGAAGTCGGTAGTGAGTGTTGCAACCGAGGACAGACGATTTTTACGCGCTACACGCTTCCCGTTCTGTGAGCTTGTGTGGCCTACCACTTCGTGGCTGAGCCGTTGTTGCTCCTAGACGTTTCCACTTCACAGTAACAGCACTTACAGTTGACAGGGGCAGCTCTAGCAGGGCAGAAATTTGACGAACTGACTTGTTGGAAAGGTGGCATCCTATGACGGTGCCACGTTGAAAGTCTCTGAGCTCTTCAGTAAGGCTATTCTACTGCCAATGTTTGTCTATGGAGATTGCATGGATGTGTCCTCGATTTAATACACCTGTCAGCAACGGGTGTGGCTGAAATAGCCGAATCCACTAATTTGAAGGGGTGTCCACATACTTTTGTATATATAGAGTAGGTCATGTGTGAAACATGTCTGCAGATCCCACCAATGGGGAGTAAGGAGGGGGCAAACAGAGGAGAGGAAGATAAGAGTGATCTTCAGCTACAGCATGACTAAGGCATGACTAAGGCATGACTACAGCATGACTACAGCATGACTAAGGCATGACTACAGCATGACTACAGCATGACCAAGGCATGACTACAGCATGACTAAGGCATGACTAAGGCATGACTACAGCATGACTAAGGCATGACTAAGGCATGACTAAGGCATGACTAAGGCATGACTACAGCATGACTAAGGCATGACTAAGGCATGACTAAGGCATGACTACAGCATGACTACAGCATGACCAAGGCATGACTACAGCATGACTAAGGCATGACTACAGCATGACTAAGGCATGACTACAGCATGACTACAGCATGACTAAGGCATGACTACAGCATGACTAAGGCATGACTACAGCATGACTACAGCATGACCAAGGCATGACTACAGCATGACTAAGGCATGACCAAGGCATGACTAAGGCATGACTACAGCATGACTACAGCATGACTAAGGCATGACTAAGGCATGACTACAGCATGACTAAGGCATGACTACAGCATGACTACAGCATGACTACAGCATGACCAAGGCATGACTACAGCATGACTAAGGCATGACTACAGCATGACTAAGGCATGACTAAGGCATGACTAAGGCATGACTAAGGCATGACTACAGCATGACTAAGGCATGACTAAGGCATGACTAAGGCATGACTACAGCATGACTAAGGCATGACTACAGCATGACTAAGGCATGACTAAGGCATGACTAAGGCATGACTAAGGCATGACTACAGCATGACTAAGGCATGACTAAGGCATGACTAAGGCATGACTACAGCATGACTAAGGCATGACTAAGGCATGACTAAGGCATGACTAAGGCATGACTACAGCATGATTACAGCATGACTAAGGCATGACTAAGGCATGACTACGGCATGACTAAGGCATGACTACAGCATGACTAAGGCATGACTAAGGCATGACTAAGGCATGACTACAGCATGACTAAGGCATGACTAAGGCATGACTAAGGCATGACTAAGGCATGACTAAGGCATGACTACAGCATGACTAAGGCATGACTAAGGCATGACTAAGGCATGACTAAGGCATGACTACAGCATGACTACAGCATGACTAAGGCATGACTAAGGCATGACTAAGGCATGACTACAGCATGACTAAGGCATGACTACAGCATGACTAAGGCATGACTACAGCATGACTAAGGCATGACTACAGCATGACTAAGGCATGACTAGGCATGACTAAGGCATGACTAAGGCATGACTAAGGCATGACTAAGGCATGACTACAGCATGACTAAGGCATGACTAGGCATGACTAAGGCATGACTAAGGCATGACTAAGGCATGACTACAGCATGACTACGGCATGACTAAGGCATGACTAAGGCATGACTACAGCATGACTAAGGCATGACTAAGGCATGACTACAGCATGACTAAGGCATGACTAAGGCATGACTAAGGCATGACTAAGGCATGACTAAGGCATGACTACAGCATGACTAAGGCATGACTACAGCATGACTAAGGCATGACTACAGCATGACTAAGGCATGACTAAGGCATGACTACAGCATGACTAAGGCATGACTAAGGCATGACTACAGCATGACTAAGGCATGACTACAGCATGACTAAGGCATGACTAAGGCATGACTACAGCATGACTAAGGCATGACTACAGCATGACTAAGGCATGACTAAGGCATGACTAAGGCATGACTACAGCATGACTAAGGCATGACTAAGGCATGACTAAGGCATGACTAAGGCATGACTAAGGCATGACTAAGGCATGACTACGGCATGACTACAGCATGACTAAGGCATGACTAAGGCATGACTAGGCATGACTAAGGCATGACTACAGCATGACTAAGGCATGACTAAGGCATGACTACAGCATGACTAAGGCATGACTAAGGCATGACTAAGGCATGACTACAGCATGACTAAGGCATGACTAAGGCATGACTACAGCATGACTAAGGCATGACTAAGGCATGACTAAGGCATGACTACAGCATGACTAAGGCATGACTAAGGCATGACTAAGGCATGACTACAGCATGACTAAGGCATGACTACAGCATGACTAAGGCATGACTACGGCATGACTATAGCATGACTACAGCATGACTAAGGCATGACTAAGGCATGACTAAGGCATGACTAAGGCATGACTAAGGCATGACTACAGCATGACTAAGGCATGACTAAGGCATGACTACAGCATGACTACAGCATGACTACAGCATGACTAAGGCATGACTAAGGCATGACTACAGCATGACTAAGGCATGACTAAGGCATGACTAAGGCATGACAACACTCCCATGCTTTCATATCAGACAGCAACAATATATACCTATCTGCTATTTCTACATTTACATTTAAGTCATTTATCTTATCCAGAGCGACTTACAAATTGGTGCATTTCTAGAGCTGCATCTTATATTTGGTAGAGCATGAACTATATAACACTATAGATTACTACTATTCATTGTGTATAGCTAGCTATTGGTGGGTCTAAAACACTAGAATACTGGTGGGTGATAATCGTTGCATCTGATTGTGTCAGACAGGGAGAACAATTTTGTGGATATTTTCAGACAATACTGCCACCCTGTGGTGAAGCCTGGTACTGTAAATCATCTTCATGATGTACCAACGTAGCCTTCATGTTGATGTGTTTATTTCTGTTGTTTAATTAATCACTGCCTTAGTTCTGAAATGATCATGGCCATTAATCAATTGTCATTGATTCATTAATCAATAAGCTAATTTAATTGATCAGTATCAAAATAATTATTTGTGTACTTGATTGACATTTTACTGCATTGTCAGAAGCAAGTAACATAAGCATTTAGCTGCACCCACTATAACATCTGCTAAACTGTATATGAGACCAATAAACTTTGATTTGATTTGACCTTATGGTTGAAACATTGCATGGAGGCATTCAATAGCGTGCAGGCATTTTACTATTTAGCCCGACATATTTAATATGCGCATGTCATACACTCCTTCCTAACTGCCTCCCAGCCAGGCACCAAGCGGGCTCACCAGAGTTGTCTTCGTCCTTGCGGATCTTGAGTTTGACCAGGTCCTCGGCCTGTTCTAGGATCTGACAGGCGTCTTCCATGGAGCAGGTCTCCAGACGGATGTTGTCTATGGCCAGAAGCTTGTCCCCAGGCTCCAGGGTACCAGTCCTGGGTAAAGGGAAAGAGGAGGTAGAGAGAGGAGGAGGAAAGGATGTAGAGAGAGAAGGATGAGATGGCGGGTGTAGAGAGAGAGAGAGAGCGATAGAGAGAGAGAGAGACAGGTAGAGGGGCAGAGTGAGAGAGAGAGAGAGAGAGAGAGAGAGAGAGAGAGAGAGAGAGAGAGGGGTAGAAGAGAGAGAGAGAGAGAGAGAGAGAGAGAGAGAGGGGGTAGAGTGAGAGAGGGATAGAGAGATGGATAAACAGGTAGAGGTTTTTAACTGTATCATTGGTGATTTTGTGGGAAATGTCACTCTCTGTAGGAGGACTACGTTACTGTCATTCTCTCAAACAATTGAACCCAAGTCATTAATCTGTGGCCTGAAGCCATCAATTCTGTACGTGTCTGTGGCCTGAAGCCATCAATACTGTACCTGTCTGTGGCCTGAAGCCATCAATACTGTGCCTGTCTGTGGCCTGAAGCCATCAAAACTGTACCTGTCTGTGGCCTAAAGCCATCAATTCTGTACGTGTCTGTGGCCTGAAGCCATCCATACTGTATCATACTGTACCATACTGTACCTGTGAGACATGCTGCCTTTCTTTATGTCTGAGATGATTAACGGCTCTCCAGACTTCTTACTGGCTGTGAGTGAGAGGAGAAGAGAGGAGGAAGAGGAGAGGAGAAGAGAGGAGGTGGAGGAGGAGAAGAGGAGCAGAGAGAGAGGAGAGGAAGAGAGAGAGGAGAGGTAGAGGAGAGAGAGAGGATCGTTGAGAGGCGAATTCTAGATGCGATGGAGAGGAGGAGCGTATCGTACGTCTCGTCTGACGTATGGTTCTTCTGAGTCATTTATTATCGTTCTAGGGGTTAGCTAATTGTTATTCTATGCATATTTTACAGGAGCATATTGTTTTATGAAATGTTTGTATACTCTCCTCTCTCTCTCTCTCTCTCTCTCTCTCTCTCTCTCGTCTCTCTCTCTTTTCTCTCTCTCTCTCTCTCTCTCTCTCTCTCTCCTTCTCTCTCCTCTCTCTCTATATATATATATATATATATATATATATATATGTATCCTCATATGTGGTCAATAAAATAATTGAGATTGAAGTGAACAAAATGGCAGATCAGCAGTTGGCTGTTGGTAATGTTCTAGATAAAACACTAAAATATACAACGTGGCATGGAGACCCTCCTGATATTACACTACTGAAGACAGAACCTCATACAGACTTAAAGGGATAGCTCATATACAAAATGACACATTGGTTTCCTTACCCTGTAAGCAGTCTATGGTCAAAGTATGACAACAATTCATGCTTTGGTTTAGTTTCCCTGGCACTGTTTCCACATGCGAATATGTAGCATTTGTGGCACAAATACCATTCAAGTAATGGGAAAGATATTATAATTGTTAGCAGATTTGTTAAAATCATCTATAAGTGACTTTGTTGAGCTTCACAATCAATTTTAGATACTTTTGGATTATTTGCCATTTTTGAATTTGGGTGAACTATCGCTTTAACCATGAGCTTCCTCTGTGCTCTACTGTACATAGTTAACTTTTTAAAGGGAGGATAACATTTAAAGGGGAGGAGAAGATTTAAAGGGGAGGAGAAGATTTAAAGGGCAGGAGAAGATTTAAAGGGGAGGAAAAGATTTAAAGGGGAGGAGAAGATTTAAAGGGGAGGAGAAGATTACGGCAGGCGAAGATTTCAAGGGCAGGAAGATTAAAGGGAGGAGAAATTTCAAAGGGCAGGAGAAGATTTAAGGTCAGTGGAAGATTTAAAAGCGGCAGGAGAGATTTAAAGGGAGGAAAGATTTAAAGGGGGGAAATTTTAAAGGCAAGAAGACTTTAACGGGCAGAGAAGATTTAAAGGGGGAGAAGCTATTAAAGGGCAGGAGAAGATTTAAAGGGCAGGATAAGATTTAAAGGGAGGAAGATTTAAAGGGGAGGAGAGATTTAGGCAGGAGATTTAAAGGGAGGAGTTTAAGGGGGGAGATTTCAAGGCAGGAGAAGATTTAAAGGGGGGAGAAATTTAAGGGCGGAAGATTTAAAGGGCCAAGAGATTTAAAGGGGAGGAGAAGATTTAAAGGGGGAGACGTTTAAAGTCAGAGGATTTAAAAGGGGGGAGATTTAAGGGGAGTTTGATTGCAGGAGAATATTTAAAGTAGGCGAAGATTTAAAGGGCAGGAGCAGATTTAAAAGGCCAGGAGGATTAAAAGGGCAGGAAATTTAAAGGGCAGGAGAAGATTTAAAGGGCAGAGAAGATTTAAGGGGAGGAAGATTTAAAGGCAGGAGAAATTTAAAAGGGCAGGAGAAGATTTAAAGGGCAGGAGAAGATTTAAAGGGCAGGAGAAGATTTAAAAGGGAGGAGAAGATTTAAAGGGGAGGAGAAGATTTAAAGGGCAGGAGAAGATTTAAAAGGGAGGAGAAGATTTAAAGGGGAAGAGAAGATTTAAAGGGCAGGAGAAGATTTAAAAGGCAGGAGAAGATTTAAAGGGCAGGAGAAGATTTAAAGGGCAGGAGAAGATTTAAAGGGGAGGAGAAGATTTAAAGGGCAGGAGAAGATTTAAAAGGGAGGAGAAGATTTAAAAGGGCAGGAGAAATTTAAAAAGGCAGGAGAAAATTTAAAATGGGAGGAGATATTAAAGGGCAGGAGAAGATTTAAAAGGGCAGGAGAAGATTTAAAAGGGCAGGAGAAGATTTAAAAGGGAGGAGAAGATTTAAAAGGGCAGGAGAAGATTTAAAAGGGAGGAGAAGATTTAAAAGGGAGGAGAAGATTTAAAAGGGAGGAGAAGATTTAAAGGGGAGAACACCCAGGGAATAGATCAGTAGAGATATACTTCACGCCCTTTAATAAAGTCAACAACCCTTCAGATAGCTGCTTGGGAGAAAATGTTGTGCATAAACATAGCTGTAGGAGCTGGGTATGTTCCCAAGGCAGTCAGTCTTCTGCAGACAGAGGGAGAATGGAGAGGAGTGGGGCCTGTTTCCTACAGAGTGCAATGGGCCCTGAACAAAAGTAGTGCACTATATAGGAAATAGGGTGTAATTTGGGACGGAAGCCCCACTCCTCTCCATGGAGTAGCACTGGGTGGTCTAGTGATCTTGAAAATAAACCCACTTCCATGAGAAACAGGATAAATAGTTTAGACTGACTGTCGATGAGGAGGATAGATCATTTAGACATGATGGTAGAGGAAGTGTGTGTGTGTGTGTGTGTGTGTGTGTGTGTGTTGTGTGTGTGTGTGTGTTGTGTGTGTGTGTGTTTTTGTGTGTGTGTACTAAACCTTACCACTGATGGTGATACCAAGCTCCACCCCTCTCTTCTTCGGTAGCTTAACGTGGAACGTTCCACTACTGGGCACAACCGACTCTACACCACACACACACCACAACACACCACACCACACCACAACACACCACACACACACCACAACACACCACACACACACCACAACACACCACACACACACCACAACACACCACACCACAACACACCACCCACACACATCCCCACACACACATCCACAACACACCACAACACACACCACACACCACACCACAACCACACCACACACACCACCCCCACACACACCACACCACACCACAACACACACACCACAACACACAGCCCACATCAGAACTGGCACAGTATTACAGGAACATTCAAGTTATTTACAGTAGATTGCATAATCCGTGTCCCAAATGGTACCCTATTCCCTATGTAGTGCACTACTTTTGACTGGGGACTATAGGGCTTTGATCAAAAGTAGTGCACTGTGTAGAGAATAGGGTGTCGTTTGGGATTCATCCATAAGGTAAATCATTAGCTGTATTACATCCTATCGTTCCCAATTAAAAATATGTTTAATCAGTTTGCTGTCTGAAAGGGCAGCAATTACTCTAATTAGTGGTGTGCAACAGAGACATGCAAATGCTTTACTATAATGATAAGCTATCATTAGGCTTGCTCATTATAACGATTACCATTAGACCATTACTCACACCATTGGATCAACTTAATACTGTATATTTGAAACACTACTTTGCCCCTTAGGGCCACCTTACTGAGTCCCGATGACAAACCTGAAACTGTTAGTCTAGCTAGCTTTTCAACCTTTTTATCAATTCATTACTTTCACATACTGTACTGTACGTATAGCCTAATGAGAGGCCTAAGCCCCAGTGACCAACCTGCCACGTCAAACTCTATCTCCAGGGAGACCTTATTGGTCAGAGCCGCGTCTCGGAGCAGCTGATTTGCTTCCTCCAGTGTTCCGTCCTCCGTGGGGATTCCGTTGATGGACAGGAGTCTGTCTCCCACCTGCAGCAGCCCACACCTGTCAGGACAATCAATCAATCAATCAATCAATCAATCAATCTGTCAGTCAGCAGCAGCAGCAGCATACAGCAGCTAGCAATTCGGGTGTACAACTGCAGGCATATATGAACTGTAAAGACAACATAGGGTCTGCAAAGTGCTGAAATTGGAGATTTTATTTTTTATTTTTACCAGTCACTTTCATAAGAAGATCGGAGTCAGCAGGCGTAAAACCCCACCCACCCACACCCCCACAAACCCCCCCCCCCAACACACCACACCCCCCCACAACCCCCAAAAAAAAACCCCACCCCCCCCCCCCCCTTTTTTTTTTTTTTTTTTAAATTAAAAAAACCCCCCCCTTTTTTTTTTTATTTTTTCCCTTTTTTTTTAAAATTTTTTTAAAAAAAGGGGGGTTTTTGGGGTTTTTTTTTAAAAAAAAAAAATTTTTTTTTTTTCCCTTTTTAAAAAATTTTTTTTTTTTAAAAAAAAATTTTTTTTTTGGGGAAAAACCCCCCCTTTTTTTTTTGGGGGCCCAAAAAATTTTTTTTTTTAAAAAAAAAAAATTATTTTTTAAAAAAAAAAATTTAAATTTTTTTTTTCCCCCTTTTTCCCCCCTTTTTTTTTTTAAAACCCCCCCCCTTTTTTTTCCCCCCCCCTTTTTTTAAAAAATTTTTTTTTAAAAAGTTTTTAAAATTTTAAATTTTTTCCCCCACCTCCCTTTTTTAAGGGGCCCCCCGGGGGCCCCCCCCCGGGTTTTTTTCCCCCAAAAACCCCTTTTTGGGGCCCCTTTGGGGGGTTTTTTTTCCCCCGGGGCCCCCCCCCTTTTAACCTTTTAAAAAAAACCCCCCCCCCCCCAAGGGGGAAAAAAAAAAAATTTTTTTTTTTGCAACAAGGGGGGAAAAAAAACCCCTTTTTTAAATTAAAAAAAAATTTTTTTAAAAAAAAAAAAAAAATTAATTTTTTTAAATTTTTTTTTTTTTTAAAAATTAAAAAAAAAAAAAAAATTTTTTTTTTTTTTAAAAAAAAAGGGGAAAAAAAAGGGGTTTTAAAAACCTTTAAAAAAATTTTTTTTTTTTAAAAAAACCCCGGGGGGGTTTTTTCCCCAAAAAAGGGGGGCAGGTTTTAAAAAAACCCCGGGGAAAAAAAAGGGGGGGGGGGAAGAAGAAGGGGAAAAAAAGGGGGGGAAAGAAGAATTTAAAAAAAAATTTAAAACCCGGGGGCCCCCCGGAAAAGGGGGGGTTTTTTTTTTTTTTTTAAAACCCCCCCAAAAAAAAAAAGGAAAAAAAAAACCCCCCCCAAAAAAAAAACCCCCCCCCAAACCCCCCCCCCCCCTTTTTTTTTTTTTTTTTCTTAAATTTTTTTTTTTTTTTTTTTTTTTTTTTTTCCCCCCCCCCCCCCCCCTTTTTTTTTTTTCCCCCCCCCCCCCCCCAAAACCCCCCCCCCCCCCCCCCCCCCCCCCTCCCCCCCCCCCCCCCCCCCCCCCCCCCCCCCCCCCCCCCCCCCCCCTTTTCCCCCCCAAAACCCCCCCCCCCCCCCCCCCAACCCCCCAAAAATTTTTTTTTTTTTCCCCCCCCCCCCCCCCCCCCCCCCCCCCCCCATTTTAAAAAAAAAACACACACAAACACACCCCAAAAACCCCCCCCCAAAAACCCCCCAACCCCCCCCCCCCCCCTTTCCCCCCCCCCCCCCCCCAAAAACCCCCCCTTTTTTAAAAAAAACCCCCCAAAAAAAAAAAAACCCCCCCCCCCCCCCCAAAAACCCCCCCGGGGGGGGTTCCCCCCCCCCCCCCCAAAACCCCCCCTCCCCCCCCCCAAAAAAAAAACCCCCCCCCCCCCCCCACCCAAAAACCCCCCCCCAAAAAAAAAAAAATTTTTAAAATGGCCCCCGGGGGCCTTTTTTTCCCCCCCAAAAAAACCCCCCCTTAAAACCCCCCAAAAACCCCCCTTTAAAAAACCCCCCCCCCCCCCCCCCCCCCCCAAACCCCCCCCCCCCCCCTTTAAAAAACCCCAATTTTCCCCCCCGGGTTTCCCCAAAAAAATTTTTCCCCCCGGGGTTTCCCCCAAAAAAAAAAAAAGGGCCAAAACCCCCCCAAAAAAACCAAATTTTTTTTTAAACCCCCTTTTTCGGGCCAAAATTTTGGGAAAAATTCCCCTTTTTCCCCCCGGTTTTTAAAAAAGGGGGGAAAAGGGGAAAACCCCCGGGAAACCCCCCCCCCCCCCTTTCTCTTTTCTTTTTTCCCCCCCCCTTTCCTTTTCCCCCCCCCTTTTTTTTTTCTTTTCCCCCTCCTTTTTCCCCTCCTTTTCCCCCCCTTTTTTTTTTTTCCCCCCCCCCCCCCCTCTTTCCCTCCCTTTTTCTCTTTTTTCCCCCCCCCCCCCCCTTTTTTTTTTTCCCCCCCCTTGCTTCCCCTCCCTTTTTTTTCTCTCTTAAAAACCCCCCTTTTTTTTCTTTTTCCCCCCTCTTTTTTTTTTTTTTCCCCCCTTTTTTTTCCTTTTCCCCTTTTTTTTTTCCCCCCCTTTCCCCTTTTTTTTTTTTTCCCCCCTTTGGTTTTTTTTTTTTTTTTCCCCCCTTTTTTCTTTTCCCCCCCCTTTTCCCCCCCCCCCTTTTTTTTTTTTTCCCTTCCCCCTTTTTTTTTTTCTTCTCCCCCTTTTTCCCTTTTTTTTTTTTTTTTCCCCCCCCCTTTCCCCCCTTTTTTTTCTTTCCCCCCCTTCCCCCCCTTTTTCCCCTTTTTTTTTGTTTTTCCCCCCCCTTTTTTTTGGGCCCCAACCCCCCCCCCCTTTTTTCCCCCCCCCCCCCCCCCTTTTTTTTTTTTTTTTCTCTCTCCTTTTCTTTCTTTCCTTTCCCCCTTTTTCCCCCCCTTTTTTTTTTTTCCCCCCCCCCCTTTCCCCCCTTTCCCCTTTTTTTCCCTTTTTTTTTTTTCCCCCCCCTTTTTTTTGTTTTCCCCCCCCCCCTTTTCCCCCTTTCTTTCCCCCTTTTTTCCTTTTCCCCCCTTTTTTTTTTTTCTTTTTTTTTTTTTCCCCCCCCCCCCCCCTTTTTCCCCAAAAAAAACCCCCCCTTTTTTTTCCCCCCCTTTTTTTTTTTTTTCCCCCCCTTTTCCCCCCTTCCCCTTTTTTTTTCCCCCCTTTTTCCCCCCCCCTTTTTTCTTTTTTTCCTTCCCCCTTTTTCCCCCCTTTTTTTTTTTCCCCCCCCCCCCTTTTTTCCCCCCCTTTTTTCCCCCCCCCCCTTTTTTTCCCCCCCCCCCTTTTTTTTTTCCCCCTTTTTTTTTTTTTTTTTTTTTTTTTTTTTTTTTTTCCCTTTTTTCCCCCCCTTTTTTTCCCCCTTTTTTTTTTTTTCCCCCTTTTTTTTCCCCCTTTTTTTTTTTTGGGGGGTTTTTTTTATTTTTTTGGGGTTTTTTTAAAAGTTTTAAATTTTTTCCCCTTTTTTTTTTTTTTTTGGGGGGGGGCCCATTTAACCCCCCCAAATTTTTTTGGGGGGGAAAAAAAAAAGGGTTTTCCCCTTTTTTCCCCCCCCGGGGTAATATTTTTATGGGTTTCCAAAAAAAAAAAACCTCGGGAAAAAGGAGATGGAAAAAAAATTTTAAAAAAAGGGGGGGGGGGAAAAAAGTATTTAGTCAGCCACCAATGTGCAAGTTCTCCCACTTAAAAAGATGAGAGAGGCCCTGTCATTTTCTTCATAGGTACACGTCAAACTATGACAGACAAAATGAGATTTATTTTTCCAGAAAATCACATTGTAGGATTTTTTATGAATTTATTTGCAAATTATGGTGGAATGGAAAATAAGTATTGGTCAATAACAAAAGTTTCTCAATACTTTTTTATATACCCTTTGTTGGCAATGACACAGGTCAAACGTTTTCTGTAAGTCTTCACAAGGTTTTCACACACTGTTGCTGGTATTTTGGCCCATTCCTCCATGCAGATCTCCTCTAGAGCAGTGATGTTTTGGGGCTGTCGCTGGGCAACACGGACTTTCAACTCCCTCCAAAGATTTTCTATGGGGTTGAGATCTGGAGACTGGCTAGGCCACTCCAGGACCTTGAAATGCTTCTTACGAAGCCACTCCTTCGTTGCCCGGGCGGTTGTGTTTGGGATCATTGTCATGCTGAAAGACCCAGCCACGTTTCATCTTCATTACCTTTGCTGATGGAAGGAGGTTTTCACTCAAAATCTCACGATACATGGCCCCATTCATTCTTTCCTTTACACGGATCAGTCGTCCTGGTCGCTTTGCAGAAAAACAGCCCCAAAGCATGATGTTTCCACCCCCATGCTTCACAGTAGGTATGGTGTTCTTTGGATGCAACTCAACATTCTTTGTCCTCCAAACATGACGAGTTGAGTTTTTACCAAAAAGTTATATTTTGGTTTCATCTGACCATATGACATTATCCCAATCCTCTTCTGGATCATCCAAATGCACTCTAGCAAACTTCAGACGGGCCTGGACATGTACTGGCTTAAGCAGGATTTGAGTCCCTGGCGGCGTAGTGTGTTACTGATGGTAGGCTTTATTACTTTGGTCCCAGCTCTCTGCAGGTCATTCACTAGGTCCCCCTGCGTGGTTCTGGGATTTTTGCTCACCGTTCTTGTGATCATTTTGACCCCACGGGGTGAGATCTTGCGTGGAGCCCCAGATCGAGGGAGATTATCAGTGGTCTTGTATGTCTTCCATTTCCTAGTATTTGCTCCCACAGTTGATTTCTTCAAACCAAGCTGCTAACCTATTGCAGATTCAGTCTTCCCAGCCTGGTGCAGGTCTACAGTTTTGTTTCTGGTGTCCTTTGACAGCTCTTTGGTCTTGGCCATAGTGGAGTTTGGAGTGTGACTGTTTGAGGTTGTGGACAGGTGTCTTTTATACTGATAACAAGTTCAAACAGGTGCCATTAATACAGGTAACGAGTGGAGGACAGAGGAGCCTCTTAAAGAAGAAGTTACAGGTCTGTGAGAGCCAGAAATCTTGCTTGTTTGTAGGTGACCAAATACTTATTTTCCACCATAATTTGCAAATAAATTCATTAAAAAATCCTACAATGTGATTTTCTGGATTTTTTTCTCTCATTTTGCCTGTCATAGTTGACGTGTACCTATGATGAAAATTACAGGCCTCTCTCATCTTTTTAAGTGGGAGAACTTGCACAATTGGTGGCTGACTAAATACTTTTTTCCCCCCCACTGTACATGCATTATCTCCGAGAGGAAATTGGTTTTGCAGCCATTCATCACTTATTCACCCATCTTTAACCATCTTTAACCAGACAAGTCAATGGAGAATCTGTTCTAATTTAGAAATAACGGTCTGGCCAAAAGGCCAAAACACCTTACTATGTTTCTCCATTCTGTCTGTTGGCCTGATTCATTAGCTGTTAAAATGGCACACCAGAAACCAATCTGTCTGAAGTGTCAGTGTCTGTGACACTATCTGGAGCCCATCTGATGTTCCATCTCTAGATCACTGTCTGTGTCTACATTACAACCACAAACTTCAGGTTTCAGCAGTGTGTGTGTGTGTGTGTGGTGTGTGTGAGAGAGTGTTTGTGTGGCTGAATGCCTGTCTGTCTGTCTGTACACCTCACCTCTCGGCAGAGCTGTCTGGCTCTATGAAGCGTATGAGCGGGGGAGCAGAGAGGGTCTCTGTAGCAAAGATTCCCCCCTGTAGCTGGACCCCAAAGCCATTGAGGGGGTCTCCTCTCAGAATGATCTCACTGCTCTCTGTGTGGACGATCTGACCACCAGGACCCACACTACTGGACGCCAGGGACACGGCTGGGGAGAGAGAGAGAGAGACAGACAGAGAGAGGGAAACATCAGACAGGACTGTATACTCACTATACAAAGGGGTTGCCAACCTTACTCTTGGAAATGGTATGCAGGGTTTTGCTCCAACCTCGTTGTAACTGATTTAGCTACCACAATCAATGTCCTGGTGAGAATCAGGTGAATTGGATTAAAGTTGGTGCCTGCAGGATGGTAGCTCTCCAGGAGGGGGCTACTATGAGGGGCTGTTATGAGGGGCTACAATGAGGGGCTACAATGAGGGGCTACAATGAGGGGCTGTTATGAGGGGCTACAATGAGGGGCTACAATGTGGGGCTACAATGAGGGGCTGTTATGAGGGGCTACAATGAGGGGCTACAATGTGGGGCTACAATGAGGGGCTACAATGAGGGGCTACAATGAGGGGCTACAATGAGGGGCTGTTATGAGGGGCTACAATGAGGGGCTACAATGAGGGGCTGTTATGAGGGGCTACAATGAGGGGCTACAATGAGGGGCTACAATGAGGGGCTGTAATGAGGGGCTGTTATGAGGGGCTACAATGTGGGGCTACAATGAGGGGCTACAATGTGGGGCTACAATGAGGGGCTGTAATGAGGGGCTGCTATGAGGGGCTGTTATGAGGGGCTACAATGAGGGGCTACAATGAGGGGCTACAATGAGGGGCTGTTATGAGGGGCTACAATGAGGGGCTACAATGAGGGGCTACAATGAGGGGCTGTTATGAGGGGCTACAATGAGGGGCTACAATGAGGGGCTACAATGTGGGGCTGTTATGAGGGGCTACAATGAGGGGCTACAATGAGGGGCTACTATGAGGGGCTGTTATGAGGGGCTACAATGAGGGGCTACAATGAGGGGCTACAATGAGGGGCTACAATGAGGGGCTACAATGAGGGGCTGTTAAGAGGGGCTACAATGAGGGGCTACAATGAGGGGCTGTTAAGAGGGGCTACAATGAGGGGCTACAATGTGGGGCTACAATGAGGGGCTGTTATGAGGGGCTACAATGAGGGGCTGTTATGAGGGGCTACAATGTGGGGCTACAATGTGGGGCTACAATGAGGGGCTGTTATGAGGGGCTACAATGTGGGGCTACAATGTGGGGCTACAATGAGGGCTATTTTTACATTTTAGTCATTTAGCAGACACTCTTATCCAGAGCGACTTACAGTTAGTGAGTGCATATATTTTTCATACTGGCCCCCCGTGTAATCGAACGCACAACCCTGGCGTTGCAAGTGCCACGCTCTACCAACTGAGCTACACGGGACTACTGAGGGGCTACTAAGAGGGGTTACTAAGGGTTATCATGGGGGGTTATCACGAGGAGTTATCATGGGGGGTTATCATGAGGGGTTATCACAAGGGGTTACCACGAGGAGTTATCACGGGGGGTTATCACGAGGGGTTATCACGAGGGGTTATCATGCGGGAATTATCACGAGGGGTTATCACGCGGGATTATCATGTGGGGTTATCACGAGGGGTTATCGCGTGGGGTTATCACGAGGGGTTATCATGCAGGATTATCATGAGGGTTATCATGCGGGATTATCATGAGGGGTTATCATGCAGGATTATCATGTGAGGTTATCGCGAGGGGTTATCACGAGGGGTTAACACGAGGGGTTATCATGCGGGATTATCATGTGGGGTTATCACGAGGGGTTATCATGCGGGATTATCATGTGGGGTTATCACGAGGGGTTATCGCGAGGGGTTATCATGAGGGGTTAACACAAGGAGTTATCATGAGGGGTTATCATGAGGGGTTATCATGAGGGGTTATCATACATGAGCTCTTATGTTCTTTGTTCTTCTGTCGTCTCTTCATCATGGAGTTGCGTGGGCTCATAGGGACAGCTGTACGAGGCAGGGTGCTGGAGCTCTGGCTGGTTGACCCAGGGCCTGATGTGGTGGTGGTGGAACCAGGGGAGAAGTTGGTCGACACTAGGGCTGTAGAGAGCGATAGAGATAGAGAGAAGTCACTAGGGCTGGAGAGAGAGGAGAGCGAGAGAGAGAGACACTCTTCTGGGAAGGCTTTCCACTAGATGTTAGAACATTGCTGCAGGGACTTTCTTCCATTCAGCCACAAGAATATTAGTGAGGTCGGGCACTGATGTTGGGCGATTAGGCCTGGCTAGCAGTCGGCGTTCCAATTCATCCCAAAGGTGTTCGATGGGGTTGAGGTCAGGGATCTGTGCAGGCCAGTCAAGTTCTTCCACACCGATCTCGACAAACCATTTCTGTATGGACCTCGCCTTGTGCAAGGGGGCATTGTCATGCTGAAACAGGAAAGGGCCTTCCCCAAACTGTTGTCACAAAGTTGGGAGCACAGAATTGTCTAGAATATCATTGTATGCTGTAGCGTTAAGATTTCCCTTCACTGGAACTAAGGGGCCTAGCCCGAATCATGAAAAACAGCCCCAGACCATTATTCCTCCTCCACCAAACTTTACAGTTGGCACTATGCATTCGGGCAGGTAGCGTTCTCCTGGCATCCGACAAACCCAGATTTGTTCGTCAGACTGCCAGAATGTGAAGCGTGATTCATCACTCCAGAGAACGTGTTTCCACTGACTCCAGAGTCCAATGGCGGCGAGCTTTACACCACTCCATCCAAGCTTCGCATTGCGCATGGTGATCTTAGGCTTGTGTGCGGCTGCTCGGCCATGGAAACCCATTTTATGAAGCTCCCAACGAACGGTTACTGTGGTGACGTTGCTTCCAGAGGCAGTTTGGAACTCGGTAGTGAGCGTTGCAACCGAGGACAGACGATTTTTACCCGCTACAAGCTTCAGCACTCGGCGGTACCGTTCTGTGATCCTGTGTGGCCTACCACTTCGCGGCTGAGCCGTTGTTTCTCTAAGACCTTTCCACTTCACAATAACAGCACTTACAGGTGACCGGGAATGCTCTAGCAGGGCAGAAATTTGACTAACTCACTTTTTGGAAAGGTGGCATCATATGACGGTGCCACGTTGAAAGCCACTGAGCTCTTCAGTACGGGCCATTCAACTGCCAATGTTTGTCTATGGAGATTGCGTGGCTGTGTGCTCGATCTAATACACCTGTCAGCAACGGGTATGGCCTAAACAGCAGAATCCACTCATTTGAAAGGGTGTCCACATACTTTTGGCCAGGTAGTGGATAATGTTTCTATAAAAACATTTGCCGGATGTTGCAAGAACGTTCCCAGAACGCATTTTGTCTGTGTCGTTTAAAAGGTTCCCAGAATGTTTCATTAGGTTGTGGGAACAGTCTGGTGGGTTTATAAAGACATAGAAAGTTACACTCTTATGTATAAACTCCCAGTCATTTATTGGGTAAACCACCAACGTTATCGGCATCACTGTGCCTTCTTCAGGGTGATGTCTTGAACGCTTGAACCAGGTCATGTAGACAAAAGAGTGCAATTAGTGCAACCAATGACAATAGTGAGCGGTGTGTCATAATTATTAGGTTGATTAGAATGAATTGAATGAAACTGTTAAAAGACAATAGTTTACAGCATATTTCATATATTAGGCTATTGTTATCATTAGCATTAGCATAAGATTAACATCAACATACATTATTGTTTAATTTAATTTCACATATATATTTAATTATTTCCAATTTCATAAATTTTTGGTTACATGTAATATTTTGGTTCAACCATAATGCATAATAAGCAATCCTCAACAAGGGGAACATATTGGGTGTACGCTGATAAGCTGTAGAAAGGACATATTCATTCCATAAGACTTGTTAATAGAAAATATAATTGTTCAGAAGAAGGGCCTGAGATCAAAGTCAATATTCAGACCACTAGGGGTCAATATTCAGACCACTAGGGGTCAATGTTCAGACCACTAGGGGTCAATGTTCAGACCACAAGGGGTCAATGTTCAGACCACAAGGGGTCAACGTTCAGACCACTAGGGGTCAACGTTCAGACCACTAGGGGTCAATGTTCAGACCACTAGGGGTCAACGTTCAGACCACTAGGGGTCAACGTTCAGACCACAAGGGGTCAATATTCAGACCACAAGGGGTCAATGTTCAGACCACAAGGGGTCAATGTTCAGACCACTAGGGGTCAACGTTCAGACCACTAGGGGTCAACGTTCAGACCACTAGGGGTCAACGTTCAGACCACTAGGGGTCAACGTTCAGCCACTAGGGGTCAAAGTTCAGACCACAAGGGGTCAATATTCAGACCACAAGGGGTCAATGTTTAGACCACAAGGGGTCAATGTTCAGACCACAAGGGGTCAATTGTTCAGACCACTAGGGGTCAAGTTCAGACCACAAGGGGTCAAGTTCAGACCACAGGGGTCAAGTTCAGACCACTAGGGGTCAAGTTCAGACCACAAGGGGTCAATTTTAGACCACAGGGGTCAAGTTTAGACCACAAGGGGTCAATGTTCAGACCATAGGGGTCAACGTTCAGACCACTAGGGGTCAACGTTCAGACCACTAGGGGTCAAGTTCAGACCACTAGGGGTCAACGTTCAGACCACTAGGGGTCAAGTTCAGACCACTAGGGGTCAACGTTCAGACCACTAGGGGTCAAATTCAGACCACTAGGGGTCAACGTTCAGACCACTAGGGGTCAAAGTTCAGACCACAAGGGGTCAACTTCAGACCACTAGGGGTCAAGTTCAGACACAAGGGGTCAACGTTCAGACCACTAGGGGTCAACGTTCAGACCACTAGGGGTCAACGTTCAGACCACTAGGGGTCAACGTTCAGACCACTAGGGGTCAATGTTCAGACCACTAGGGGTCAACGTTCAGACCACTAGGGGTCAACGTTCAGACCACTAGGGGTCAATTCAGACCACTAGGGGTCAGTGTTCAGACATAGGGTTCAGTTTAGCCCACTGGGGTCAAGTAGTAGGGATTCCACGTTAACCCTGGTATAACCACTAGTCAATACAGACACTGGGGGTAGTTCAACATAGGGGTCAACTTCAGACACTAGTCATGTTCTGACACCTGGATTGACCACTGCGGCAGTTCAGACTAGGGTTCAATGCTTCGCGCCACTAGGCATTTCACCACATCAGTCAGACATGAGTAGATTAACCCAGTGGTCTTGCATGAGATGAACCCCTACAGGGATTTTTCAATAGGATATCCAGTAGGGCTCCCACTGTAGTAGTAGGATCTCCATGTTACCTCCTGTGTATAATAATATGAATGAAGGAGATGGGACGGTTAGCTTCAACAAAGTGAGCTGCTACCAGATAGTCAGTGTTCTTACACCTGATTGACCTGCGGCGTTCAGCTATGCGTTGTTTCAATTGTCTTTTCGCTTGTCCTACGTAGGCTTTCCCACATGTACAGGCGATGAGATAGATTACTCCCGTTGTCTTGCATGAGATGATACCCCTAACAGGGATTTTTCAACCTGTATGCGGGTGTCTACAGAAGGATGTTTTTTTTGTAGTGCTATTGCACTGTGCGCATGAGCCGCATTTGTAGTTCCGATTTGGAATGGGGTGTCAAGGGTGTCTGAGTGGGCTCGGGGGGGGGGGGTAGGTCAGATCTCACTAATCTATCCCCAATATTGCGACCATGCTTATAGACCACCAGTGGGGGGGGTTCCTTGAAAAGGTGTGCATCCTATCCGCATGTAGCAGGGTATTGATGTCTGCGGGCTTAGTGTATACGTCTGTATGTAATGCATCATTCTCTTTGAGGATCCATAAGTCCAGGTAGTATGTTTTTCTCTCATCAAGTCTCCATGGTGAATCTGAGATGTTCAGAACTCTCGTTTAGCAGAGCATGGAATTCATTTTAGTTCCTGTTGACTTCCTTCCCAGAGCACAAAGACATCATCTACAGTTGAAGTCGGAAGTTTACATACACCTTAGCCAAATACATTTAAACTCAGTTTTTCATAATTCCTGACATTTCATCCTAGTAAAAATTCCCTGTCTTAGGTCAGTTAGGATCACCACTTTATTTTAAGAATGTGAAATGTCAGAATAATAGTAGAGAGAATGATTTATTTCAGCTTTTATTTCTTTCATCACATTCCCAGTGGATCAGAAGTTTACATACACTCAATTATCTATATGTGGTCCTCTGTAGCTCAATTGGTAGAGCATGGCGCTTGTAACGCCAGGGTAGTTAGTGGCTTCGATCCCCGGGACCACCCATACGTAAAAATGTATGCACACATGACTGTAAGTCGCTTTGGATAAAAGCATCTGCTAAATGGCATATTATAATTAGTATTTGGTAGCATTGTCTTTAAATTGTTTAACTTGGGTCAAACGTTTCGGGTAGCCTTCCACAAGCTTCCCACAATAAGTTGGGTGAATTTTGGTCCATTCCTCCTGACAGAGCTGGTGTAAGACTCTCCTTGCTTGCCCACGCTTTTTCAGTTCTGCCCACACATTTTCTATAGGATTGAGGTCAGGGCTTTGTGATGGCCACTCCAATACCTTGACTTTGTTGTCCTTAAGCCATTTTGCCACAACTTTGGAAGTATGTTTGGGGTCATTGTCCATTTGGAAGACCCATTTGCGACCAAGCTTTAACTTCCTGACTGATGTCTTGAGATGTTGCTTCAATATATCCACATAATTTTTCTTCCTCATGATGCCATCTATTTTGTGAAGTGCACCAGTCCCTCCTGCAGCAAAGCACCCCCACAGCATGATGCTGCCACCACCGTGCTTCACGGTTGGGATGGTGTTCTTCGGCTTGCAAGCTCCCCCTTTTTCCTCCAAACATAACGATGGTCATTAAGGCCATTTTTGTTTCATCAGACCAGAGGACATTTCTCCAAAAAGTACGATCTTTGTCCCCATGTGCAGTTGCAAACCGTAGTCTGGCTTTTTTATGGCGGTTTGGAGCAGTGGCTTCTTCCTTGCTGAGCGGCCTTTCAGTTTATGTCGATATAGGACTCGTTTTACTGTGGATATAGATACTTTTGTACCTGTTTCCTCCA